CCTCCCAGCGGGGAAATAGGGAGAACCCCCCCCAAAGGGGAACGCCTGGCGTCGGGCCCCTCCGACCCGCTCGAGGGGACCAACGTGACCTGAGCTGCTATCACTGTGGCCAGAGAGGCCACGTACGTACCCAGTGCCCCAGGCTCAGGGACAGACTGAGCAGACCCAACCTACCCAGGGTTAACTGGGTAGGGACCCAGCGGGACGAGGGGAAGACGGCCCAGGCAAGGGGGGCTGCCAGCTTACCACCTGCTCGGGAGGGAAGAGTACCCCCGGCCAGCTCCGCCAGAGGGCTGGATGCTCTGGACTCAGGGTGCTCGGTTTACAGGGTGGGCGCGGGGCTGTCCCTCCAGAGAAAGTGCCTTGTTCCCCTGGAGGTGGATGGGAGGAAGGTCAATGGACACTGGGATGCTGGCCCGACTCGAGGTGGTGGCCCCAGATCGGGTGGTGCCCAACACCTACCTGACCCTGACAGGGGTGGGCGGGACCCCATTTAAGGTGCCCGTGGCAAGGTTACACCTGAAATGGGAAACCAAGGAGGGCCCCAAGGATGTGGGGGTGCACCACCATTTGCCCACTGAGGTTTTGATGGGGGGAGAAAGAGGACTGGCCAAGCAAGCCCCAGACCACCCTGGCTGTGACCCGTAGCCAGAGCCGGCGCGGGGCACTGCTCCCTGACCTCGGGGAGGGTACTGCACCGGAGGCGCAGGACCCTACCCTGGTGGGGAGGGAGCACCGAGGGGCATGGCTCAGAGATGCTGTGGCCTCAGACCCAGCCGATGAGAGGGAACCGGTCCCCATCCCTTCCCCAGCCGCTGAGTTCCAGGCCGAGTTGAGGAAAGATCCCTCCTTGCGGAAGCTCAGGGACCTGGCCGACCTCAGTGTGGTACGGACCATGAGGAGAGGCTGCCAGGAGAGGTTCCTGTGGGAGAAGGGGTTCCTGTACCGAGAATGGGCTTCCACAAGGGAAGTAGAGTCCTGTGGGATCAGGAGGCAGCTGGTGGTCCCCCAGAAATATCGCCGCAAGCTCCTGTACCTGGCCCATGACATCCCCCTTGCAGGGCACCAGGGAATCCGGCGCACCCGGCAGAGGTTGCTACAGAACTTTTACTGGCCCGGGGTCTTTACCACTGTCCGGCAGTATTGCCGATCCTGTGACCCCTGTCAGAGGGTGGGGAAGGCCCGGGACAAGGGGAAAGCGGCTTTGAGACCTTTGCCTATCATAGAGGAGCCTTTCCAGAAGGTGGCCATGGACATCGTGGGGCCTCTCAGCAAGACGACCCGGTCGGGGAAGAAATACATCTTGGTGGTGGTAGATTTTGCCACCCGCTACCCCGAGGCAGTGCCCTTAGCTTCCATTGAGGCAGACACCGTGGCCGACGCGCTCCTGACCATTTTCAGCCGAGTGGGGTTCCCCAAGGAAGTCTTGACAGACCAAGGGTCCAACTTCATGTCGGCCCTGCTCCGGTGCTTGTGGGAGAAATGTGGGGTCCGGCACAACTGGGCCTCAGCTTATCACCCCCAGTCCAATGGGCTGGTGGAGAGGTTTGATGGGACGCTAAAGATGATGCTGAAAACCTTTATGAACCAGCACCCGCAGGATTGGGACAAGTACTTACCTCACCTGCTGTTCGCGTACAGGGAGGTGCCCCAGGAGTCTACCGGATTTTCGCCTTTCAAACTGTGATATGGCAGGAGGGTGAGGGGCCCCCTGGACCTGATGAGAGACGAGTGGGAGGGGAAGGCCACTCCCGATGGAGAGTCAGTGGTGGAGTATGTCCTGATCTTCCGAGAGAGACTGGCTGAACTCATGGGCCTGGCCAGGGAGAATCTGGCCAGAGCCCAGAGGAAGCAGAAGGTCTGGTATGACTGCACGGCGCGGGCCCGTGCCTACGCCACCGGGGATCCGGTGATGGTTCTCATCCCCGTGAGAAAGAACAAACTACAGGCCGCCTGGGAGGGCCCTTTCAAGGTCGTCAAGCAGCTCAATGAGGTAAACTATGTGGTGGAGCTGTCGAACCGGGCGCACCACCGCCGGGTGTACCATGTGAATATGATGAAGCCATACTATGCCAGGGGAAATGTGGTGTTGGCCGTGTGTGGACAGTGGGAGGAGCAGGGAGATGACCCTTTAGTAGATCTATTCCCTGGGACCAGAGCTGGTTCCCCCCTGGAAACAATTCCCCTCTCGGATCAGCTAACCCCTGCCCAGCAAGCTGAGGTCAGGGGGTGCTGCATCCGTCCCGACAGCTGTTTTCCAACCAGCCTGGACACACTAATCTGACTGTCCACCGGGTGCAGACGGGTCGCACCCGCCGATAAGATGCTCCCCCTTCCGAGTCACAGGGAAAACTGCTCAGGACCTGGACAGGGGTCCGGGACATGATCACCCCCAAAGCCGGCCAGCCCTCGCCGGTGGTGCTGGTCCCCAAAAAGGACGGGTCGGTCCGGTTCTGTGTGGACTATCGGAAGCTCAATGCCATCACGGTATCTGATGCCTACCCCATGCCCAGGCCGGACGGGCTCCTAGACAAGCTGGGAGGAGCTCGGTACCTTACCACCATGGACCTTACAAAGGGCTACTGGCAAGTGCCGCTGGATGCAGATGCCCGGCTGAAATCGGCCTTTATCACCCCTCTGGGGCTCTGCGAGTTCCTGACCCTGCCTTTCAGCCTCAAGGGAGCGCCGGCCACCTTCCAGCGCCTGGTGGACCAGCTCCTGAGGGGGATGGAGAGTTTTGCCGTGGCGTATATTGATGACATCTGTGTCTTTAGCCAGACCTGGGAGGACCATGTGTCCCAGGTTAGACAAGTGCTGGACCGACTCCAGGGGGCTGGGCTGACTGTAAAAGCGGAGAAGTGCAAGGTGGGGATGGCGGAAGTGTCTTACCTGGGCCATCGGGTGGGGAGCGGCCGCCTAAAGCCGGAACCAGCCAAGGTGGAGGTGATCAGAGACTGGCCCGCTCCCCACATCAAAAAGCAGGTCCAAGCCTTTATTGGGATGGCAGGATGCTACCGAAGATTTGTGCCCCACTTTAGCACCATAGCCACCCCCATCACGGAGCTATGCAAGAAGGGGAAGCCAGACAAGGTGGTCTGGACCGAGCAGTGCCAGGAGGCTTTCCGGGCGCTGAAAGAGGCTCTGGTCCGTGGCCCAGTTCTGGCAAACCCAGACTTTGACAAGCCCTTTGTGGTGTTCACCGACGCCTCCGACACGGGACTGGGGGCGGTGTTAATGCAGGAGGATGAAAAGGGGGAGACACACCCCATTGGGTATCTGAGCAAGAAGTTGCTACCCCGGGAGCAACACTACGCGGCCATCGAGAAGGAGTGCCTGGCCATGGTGTGGGCCCTCAAGAAACTAGAGCCCTATCTCTTCGGGCGACACTTCACCGTCTACACCGACCACTCGCCCCTGACCTGGCTGCACCAGATGAAAGGAGCCAACGCCAAGCTCCTGAGATGGAGCCTGCTCCTGCAGGATTACGACCTGTCCACGTGAAGGGAAGTGCCAACTAGCGGACACGCTATCCCGGAGAGGAGGCCCCGAACTTCCCCAGGTCACTGGTTAGAGTGACCCCGCTCAGTTCAGTCTTGAAGGGGGGGGAGATGTGACGCAGCAGGGAGGGGGGAGTGTTGACCTGGGAATGTGCCCTGGGGATGGGAGACCTGAGAGCCTGTCACCTGAGCCGGGAGGGGGCGGGGGAGGGGACACCTCTGCCCAGGAATGTGAACAGAGGCTGCAGAAGGGAGCCTGCTGGGGGGGTTTAATTTCAGTTTGGTGCTGGGTGGAGGAACGCAGGGAACCCCAGGGCTGGGGTTTAAGCTCCCTGCTCCCCCAGAAGGACTTGACTGAGGGGTCCTGGTTGTACCCACAAGCTCTGTTTTGGACTGTGTTCCTGTTGTCCAATAAACCTTCTGTTTTACTGGCTGGCTGAGAGTCTCAGTGAATCCCAGGAAGAGGGGTGCAGGGCCTGGACTCCCCCACACGCCGTGACAGCAGGATTCCTGGGTTCTATTCCTGCCTCTGCCACTGTCTTGCTGGGTGCCTTGGGGCAAGCCCCTTCCCTGCTCTGTGCCTCAGTTTCCCCATCTGTGAAACGGGGGTGATGGTAACCACCTTTGGAGAGAGCTTGCAGATCTACTAAACCCAGGCCTGCTGTTTCCTGCCAACTCCCTTACCTAGCAGTAGGTGTATTACGGTAGCACGTAGGAGCCCTCACCGAGATCAGGGCCCCGTCGTGTTGGGTGCTGCCCGGACCCCAGCAGTGATCGGGGCCCCGTCGTGCCAGGCACTGCACAGATCCAGTGCGGGACAGTCCCTAACCCAGTGAGAGAAAAATGGAAGGATCATTAGCGGCATGTTACAGGTGGGGGAAACTGAGGCACGGGGCAGCCCAATGACTTACCCAAGGTCACACAGGGAGTCAGTAGCAGAGCCCGGGTGTCCTCAGTGCACATCACTGAGAGAAGGGGAATTAAAAACCAAATGCTGTGGTGAAGCAAGGAGGCTCCCCCAGGCTCGCTGGTGCCACCCCCAGGCCTTGGGGCGATTCGTGGAGGGGAGCTCAGAGCCTGCCAGGCCAGCTGCAGCTGAGAGAGCAAAGTTGGGCTGTGATGGGAGATGGGGCGGGGAGGGAGGGGCCGGGGGCAGCGCAGCCCTGGGTGGGGAAGGGGGGGACAGCAGCTGCTGGCCTGGGGCTGGGCGCGCATTTCTCCAGCTCAGCTGTGTGCAGTGCGGGTCTTGTTTGATCTAATCTGCAGCCGGGCACAGAGGGGGGAGTTCACGGGGGTTGGGGGGGGGCCAGGGCTGCGAGCCTGGACTCCTGGGTTCTGTTCGGAGTGGGAATGTGACCTAGTGGTTAGACCAGAGGACTGGGGGACAGAAAGGACTAGCGAATGGCCCCCTGCCCGAACCCCCAGCCCCCCTCGTCTGGCTCCCTGCCCCGCGGGATCGGCCGAGCCCAGGGCGCTATCTCCCCTGACCCGTGTCTCTTGCAGGACGGTGGCTGCCGAGGTGCGGAAGCAGGTGTCCCGGGAGTACGGCGGGTCCCCCCAGCTCTCCAAGAAGCGCAGTGGCTCCCAGCAGTTGGTGAGTACCCCAGCGCCCCGCGTCCCTCAGCCCCCGGCACTGACGGGCTCTCAACGTGGTCCGGCCACTAGTGGGGGACAGAGCCACCTTGGGGAACGTCACCGCCGGCACCTGCCATTGGCTCTTCCCCTGTAGCCTCTCCCCTTCCCAAAGCATCATGGGAACGTCCCGGGACTCTACCTCACTGGTCCCGCCCTTCCCATCCCCGTCTTGCCCGACCCCGCCCACCACTCTGGGCGCGGGGGGGAGGCGGGGGGTGGGGCAGCAGCAGGCATCGAACCTGCCACCTCGGTGTGTAAAGGCGGCACCCTCCTGCCCGAGCTGGCGCTGCCGAGGGCTGGGAGTCGCGGCTGGAGCCGGCTCGTGGCCCCCGCTAGACATGGGGCCGTGGTGAGGGCCCCAGCACCCGGGCGAGGAGCCAGCCGCGCTGTTCCCTGTCGTCCCTTCTCCGCTCCAGGACCCTGGGGGCCCTTGGGGGCTTAGCGAGGGGCCCGCGGCAGGGAGGGGGACGGCGCGGACTCCCCCTCTACAACGGTTTCCAGGCCTCTCTCCCGCGCTGCCTCTTGTCCCGTGGCTGCGGCCTTTCCCGGCGGCGAACCCGCTGAGCTTTAACAGGAGGTGGAGCTGTTAGACGGGGAGTGGGGTCTAGTGGCTAGAGTGGGTGGGGGGAGAAGACTGGGAGCCAGGACTCCTGGGTTCTCTACCCAGCTCTGGGAGGAGAGTGGGGGGCTAGTGGTTAGAGCAGGGGGTTGCACTGGGGGGAGCATGCCGTGGAGAATGGGGTGTTTCCATCCGTCTCCCGGTCCCATGTGCTGGCAGGCTCAGGGCCGGCGCATTGGCCTCCGGGAGCCCCAGGCCGAGTGGCTGGGGCCAGGCGCCAAGGGGGAGGGTTCTGGCGCGCTTTAGATCTAACCGCGTTGGTTTCCCCTTCCCTTTCCCGTGTGGTTTCAGTGTCTTGCCCTCACTTCCTGCCCGGTTAGTGCCGGCCCGGCAGGCGCTTGTGAGCAGGTCGGCGCTGAGATTTCCTCTGGCACAGATGGCTTGTGCTACCCGTGCCCCCTCCCGTCAGCCGGCGTGGCCCCCGCCCAGCCCGGGAGTATTGAGAGAGCCCCCTTGGCCAGCCACGTGCCGGCAGCTGCCCGACTTCCTGCCGCCTCTCAGTGGCCAGTCTGGGAGGATGCCTGGGGAGGAGCCGGGGGGCTGCAGGGAGTGATGCTGGGGGTTCGCTTGGGGCGCTCTATTCCCAGTCGATACTGACTCTCAGCTGTGCCGGGCTGCCAGGAGCTCAGCCGGGGTCGCTCTCCCTGCTCAGTCAGGCAGTGATGTGGTACCCCAGATTGCACACTGTTGGCAAAGGAACCCAGGAGTCCTGAGTCTCCTGCTCCAATCACTGGACCCCACTCCCCTCCCGGAGCCGGGGATAGAACCCAGGAGTCCTGCTCCCAGCCCCCTGCTCTAACCCTTAGCTTATCCCACCACTGTGGGGAGCGCAGCCTGTCTCATCCTTGGGGGTCCACACTGGGGCTGTCCCAGCTCCAACCACCAGCAGGGGGCAGCGGTGGGGTGGGGTTTGCAGGGAGCTGCCCTGGCTGCATTGGGACGATCCCGCCCTGTGCTGACCGGTCTGTCCCCGCAGGTGCCGCTGACGGAGGTGGTGGAGCCGGTGGACTTTGAGGAGTACCTGGCTGCCCACCCTCCCGAGGTGGAGCCTGGCCCACTCCGTGACCTGGTCGAGTTCCCCGCTGATGACGTGGAGGTGGTCCGGGAGCCGCGGGAATGCCGCACGCTGGAACCGGGGTTACCCGACGAGGGGTGGGTGCCTGGGCCGGGGCTTGCTGCTGAATGTGGGAGTGGGGTGGGACCTGGCCCTGTGTGGTGGTGCAAGAGACCACCAGCCCTGGATGGGGCACGGCAAGTTAGCATCTCAGTACTGCCCAGCCACCAGCAGGGGGCAGCGCATTTAGCACAGGGTCCTATGTCTTGGGACATTTTGTCCTCCCCCTGGGGAAACTGAGCCACCAGTTTCTGGGGACTGACCAGACTGGGGAGGCGGGGACTCAGGACAAGGGGCCTGGCCTGGGCTATACAGACTGGATGGGGGCGGGGACTCTGGATAAGGGGCGTGGCCTGAGCGATACAGACCGGACAGGGGTGGGGACTTGAGGCATCAGAGCTCATGAATTCTCGGCTTCCAGCCCCGTGATCACCCCCCACCCTCTCTGTGTCTCGCCCCCTTGCCGTGCACACCCTGTGCCTGGCTCAGCCCCGTCCTCTGCTGCACAAGGGGTGCTTTGAGACGGGGCATTTGAGCATTCCTCCACTTTGGCACGTCCCCGGCCTGGACGCATGGCTGGGATAATGCTCCTTGCCTGCCCCCGGGGGCTGTGACGAGGCTTAATTAGGGAGTTATAATTAATGAATGCCGGCAGAGTGACTTGCTCAAGGTCACCCAGCCAGCCAGCGGCAGAGCCAGGAAGCGGGAACCCAGGTGTCCTGGCAGTTCTGAAGGCTGCGGGGTTGGAAAAGAGGCCCCTGGGGTTGTGGTGTACCCGCTGCCCCCTGGAGCTGCCCAGGCGTCCCCTGCCCTCGTCCCTCCCCCCGCTGATTCGGAGGCGAGCCCTGTGTGTTTCCCTCCCGCCAGGAAGCTGGATGCCCGGGTGCGGGACGCGGTGCAGGTCTACACGGAGGACTGGCTGGTGGTGCGGAGGAAGTAAGTTGGCGGAGCACCCCGCGGCTGGTCGGAGGGGGCAGGGCGAGCCCGGAGCCAGCGCCCGTGGACGGCTTCCAGTGCTGCGCTTTGGAGCCAGGCCTGTCTCCCGTCCCCTCTCCCCGCAGGCTGAAATCGCTGGCCCACTACATGCCTGGCGGGAGGCCAGGGGGATGGGCCCAGCACGCCGGCGCGTGGCTGGGTTGCCCGGAGCTATACCAGAGCCAGCCGCCCGCTATGGGCTTCCAAACTCCTGGTAACCGGATCCGTTCAGTCCTTGGAGAAAGGGACCTTGTTTCTCCTGGTGCCTGGGGCTCGGTCAGCCGAGCCCGGCTCTGCCTCGTGTTCCGGAGGCGGGCGCAACTGGTGGCTTGGCCAAGGGACAATGGGCTGTTTGTCCTCTGCCCATCTGTCCGTCCCTCAGCCCGGGTTACACAGCAGCTGAATCCTTGGGAAGGAGGGGAGCACCAACCCCTGTTTTACAGATGGAGAAATCAAGGCACAGAGCAGGGGTGGTTAGTTCCTGGCTCCCTTTCCTGTGCTCCGACCCGAGTCCCCGCCCCTCTCTACCTGGGCTGGGGTGATCCAGGTGTGTTGTTCCCTGCCCCCCTCCCCTATGCAAGGGCGACCCATCATGTGGCTGAAATAAAGGGGGAGGATGATGGGAACTATCCTTTCTTGCACCTCTCCCCGCATCCCCCAGGCAATAGCCTGGTCTCCCCCGCCGCACTCCCTCGCTCCCATTGTGGGGCTGCGCTGCGGGGGGCCGGGGGATGTGACCAAGGCTCCCCGCGCCCGCAGGTACCAGCATCTCAGCACCATGTACAGCCCCCACACGGCCGAGCGGCAGCGGCAGAGACAGAGGGGGCTGCCCCGGCAGGTCTTCGAGCTGGACGAGGCCGCGGAGGAGCCGGTGAGGCCAGGGGGCGAGGGAGGATGCCCCTGGGCAGAGCGTGGCCCCAGCTGGGGGTTCTGGAGGGAAAGAGGCCTGGCTGGGATGGCCGTATCACCTGCAGGGGTCGGGGGGCTGGGCCGGAGGGACATTGGGGTAGAGGGAGGATGTTGGGGGGGCTGGGACGGGGGGTGTTGTGGGGTGACAGGGCTGGGCTGGCCTGGGGTGGTGGGAGGCGGCCTGGCGCCCCCTCACCCCACCCCACCCCCCCAGGAGGAGCTGAAGCGCCGCTCGCCCTCCCTGGACGACACGCCCCGGGGCAGCTGGGCCTCCAGCATCTTCGACCTGAAGAACTCGGTGGCCGACCCGCTGCTGCCCACCCTGCTGGAGCACACGGCCATGGAGGAGGTCGACCGGCGTAACGAGGAGCTGCGCAAGGAGAACCGGCACCCGGAGCTCCTGGCCCTCTTCCCCGCCCCCGACGAGGTGAGCCCCGCCTCGGGGAACGGGCCGGGTCCCCTTTCCTAGGTGTGTTAAGGTGGTGTCCCAATGCCCCAAGCGAGATCGGGGCCCCCTCTTTGGGCTGGGCCCTGCCCCAACAAGCTCTCAGTCTAAACATACCCGGGGGGAGGGGAAACTGAGGCACAGAGCTGAAGTCAGTGGCAGAGCCGGGAATAGAGCCCTGGTGTCTTTGCAAGGCCGCAGGGCCTGCGTGTGCAGCGGGTATAAAGGCTGGGTCGGGGTGGCTGCGTGGGGCGGGCTGGGGGCCCCGGGTTCGAGAGGCCACTCTCACCGCTGCTCCCCCTGCCGGCAGGACGAGGCGGTGGAGCGCTGCAGCCTGCCCGAGGTGCCCCGGGAGCACTTCGGCCAGCGGATCCTGGTGAAGTGCCTGTCTCTCAAGTAGGTCGCCCCCCCATCATCACAGCGAGGGAGCTAGGGGCTGCGGGGGCTCCCTGGGGCTGGGGGGAGGTAGTGTTTCCATCCCCGCTGCGGGGAGGAGCCTGCCAGAGCCAAGCGAACTGCCCTGGAGGCTGGGCCTGTCCAGCAGGGGGAGGAGAGGTCTCTGGGTAGGGTGGGGTCCCCTGGCTCCCCCCGCAGAATGGGAGGAGGGGGCTGGCTGTGCGGGCGAACAGCTCAGCCTTGGATGTCCATGCTGAGCCCTGCTCATCCCTAGGACCACTGGGGGGCATGTGGGGGCAGTGATATCTGTGTTGGAGGGGAAACTGAGGCACTGGGGGTGGGGCTTCGCCATGGCGGCCCAGTGAGTAGTGGCAGATCCTGGAATGGAACCCAGGTGTCCTGGCTTGCAGCCGCCTAGGCCACACTGCCCCCTGAGTGCCGAGGGGTGTGGGGCTGGGGGGTGGCTGTGGGGCTGTTGCTCCCAGCTGAAGGGTCCTGATGCGCTCGCCGTCTCTCTGGTGCCAGGTTTGAGATCGAGATCGAGCCCATCTTCGGGACACTTGCCCTGTATGATATCAAGGAAAAGAAAAAGGTACCCGATGGCCCCGCCCCATCGGGGCATGTGCTAGGCCAGGGGGGCGGGGACGCAGGGTGAGGGGCGTGTCCTCGGCTGTACTGACCAGATGGGTGGGCGGGGAGCCTGTCCTGGGCTGTACTGACTGAACGGGGGGCCAAGGACATAGGGTGAGGGGCATGTCCTGGCCTGGTCTATACCTACTGGGCAGAGGGGCGGGGATGCGGGACAGGGGGTGTGGCTGGGCCGTACTGACCAGGGGGCGGGGATGCAGGGTGAGGGGCGTGGCCTGGGCTGGACGGTCACGGGGTCCCCGGGCGATGCTCTGGAACTGCTCCCCACGAAAGCCAGGCAGGACCCTGGGGAAGTCTCCAGTCTGGGAGCAGCCTGTCTTCAGGACACACAGCTCACCCGGCTTCCACTTTCCTGGGTCTGACCTCGGAGCGTTCAGCATCCTCTGCCCCTCCCTGCGCTTCCCACAGCCAGTCTGCCCAGGCGGGGTCCTGGGGAAGCCAGAGGGTCCTGCCCCCCAACTCCGCAGTCAGACGGGACTCTCAGCCAGCCAGTAAAACAGAAGTTTATTAGACGACAGGGACATGGTCTAACACAGAGCTTGTAGGTACAGAGAACAGGACCCCTCAGCCGGCTCCATTCTGGGGGGCAGTGAGCCAGACAACCACGTCTGCCCTTCACTCCATGTCCCCAGCCAGCCCCAAACTGAAACTCTCTCCAGCCCCTCCTCCTCTGGGCTTTGTTCCTTTCCTGAGCCAGAAGGTCACCGGAGTCCTTTGTTCTCCAACCCTTTAGCTCTCACCTTGCAGGGGGGAAGGGCCCAGGCCATCAGTGGCCAGGAAACAGGGTGTCGGCCATTGTCTGTGTCCAGACCCCTGCACACACCTGCCCTCTAGGGCTCTGCAATGATCATACACCCTTACCCCACCCCCTAGATACTTAAGAACTGCCTAGGGGAAACTGAGGTACCCCCACACTATTCAGAGGAAACATTAAGAACAGTCCTGCTTCCTCACAAATGACCAGGGGGCAGGGATGTGGGGTGGGGGGGCGAGGCCTGGGGCGTACTGACCAGGGGTGAGGGGCGGGGCCTGGGCCGTACTGACTGGGCTGGGGGGCTGAGGGGCAGGGCCCTGGCCAGCCCACGTGGGGGCTCTGTCTCCTGCTCTCACCTTTGCTCCGTCCCTAGATCTCCGAGAACTTCTACTTCGACCTCAACTCGGAGCAGGTGAAGGGGCTGCTGCGGGCGCCCGGCGCCCACCCCGCCATCTCCACGCTGGCACGCTCCGCCATCTTCTCCATCACCTACCCTTCCCCCGACATCTTCCTGGTCATCAAGGTGAGGGGGGGGCTCCCAGCCTCCTGCTTTAACCACTAGACCTCACTCCCGAGAGCTGGAACCCAGGAGTCCTGGCTCCCAGCCCACCCCCCCTGCTCTAAGCACTGGCCCCCACTCCCCTCCCCAGTGGGTCACTGTTCCTCTTCTCCCCCAGCTGGAGAAGGTACTGCAGCAGGGGGACATCGGGGACTGCTGTGAGCCCTACATGGTCATGAAGGAGACGGACACAGCCAAGGTAGGTGCTGCCTCGGAGCCAGCCCGTCCTCCCTGCTCTAACCACTGAGCACCACTGCCCTCCCAAGGCTTGGGAGAGAACCCAGGAGTCCTAGCTCCCAGCCGCTCCCCACTCTAACCACTCAGCACCGCTCCCCTCCCAGAGCCCGGGAGAGAACCCCGGAGTCCTAGTTCCCAGCGTCCCCCGCTCTAGCCACTCAGCACCAATGCCCTCCCCAGAGCCAGGGAGAGAACCCAGGAGTCCTGGCTCCCAGCACACCCCTCCCACACAATAGCCACTCAGCACTGCTCCCCTCCCAGAGCCAGGGAGAGAACCCAGGAGTCCTGGCTCCCAGCCCCCCCACTCTAACAGGGGTACGGCTCTGACAGTGGCAGTGCAATGCCCCCGTGCCCCAGAGGGCTCGGTGTGGGGCTCGGGGTGAGCTGGGGTTGCCCCGCCACGTTAACTCGGTGCCCGCCCACCCCAGAACAAGGAGAAGCTGGAGAAGCTGCGTGGGGCGGTGGAGCAGTTCTGCGGCCGTCTGGGCCGGTACCGCATGCCCTTCGCCTGGACGGCCATCCACCTGCTGAACATCGCCAGCACCGCCGGGGCCCTGGAGCGCGAGGCCGCCGACGCCGAGAGCGGTGAGCCCGGCGGGGGGGCAGCACGTGGGGCACAGGCCTGGGCGCGGTCCGGAGACCTCCCTGGCGCCACGTTCCCCGCAGCCTGGGGCTGGGGGGCGCTGCCGGGCTTGGTAGGGGGCATTCTGCCCTCTGGCTCGGTGCTGGCCCCAGTGCCCCCGGGATGGGGCTCAGTGGGGGGCGCTCTCCCCTGGCAGGCAGGGCTGGCCCCGGGGCGGGATGGGGCTCAGCGGGGGGCGCTCTCCCCTGGCAGGCAGGGCTGGCCCCGGGGCGGGATGGGGCTCAGCGGGGGGCGCTCTCCCCTGGCAGGCAGGGCTGGCCCCGGGGCGGGATGGGGCTCAGCGGGGGGCGCTCTCCCCTGGCAGGCAGGGCTGGCCCCGGGGCGGCGCTAGGGGGCGCTGTTCCCCCGGGGCGGGATGGGGCTCAGCAGGGGGCGCTCTCCCCTGGCAGGCAGGGCTGGCCCTGGGGCGGCGCTAGGGGGCGCTGTTCCCCCGGGGCGGGATGGGGCTCAGCGTGGGGCGCTCTCCCCTGGCAGGCAGGGCTGGCCCCGGGGCGGCACTAGGGGGCGCTGTTCCCCTGGGGCGGGATGGGGCTCCAGCGGGGGGCGCTCTCCCCTGGCAGGCAGGGCTGGCCCCGGGGCGGGATGGGGCTCAGCGGGGGGCGCTCTCCCCTGACAGGCAGGGCTGGCCCCGGGGCGGGATGGGGCTCAGCGGGGGGCGCTCTCCCCTGGCAGGCAGGGCTGGCCCCGGGGCGGCGCTAGGGGGCGCTGTTCCCCCAGGGCGGGATGGGGCTCAGCGGGGGGCACTGGCCCCTGGCAGGCAGGGCTGGCCCCAGAGCCCTGGGCCCGAGCTAGGGGGTGCTGTGCTGCAGGAGGTCCTGGCTGCTGTGGGGGGTTAACGGTTCCTGTTCCCCGTGTCTGAGCGCTGGCCGCACCCGCCCCCCGTGGGTACAGTGGGCCGCAGGTTTCTTACCAGTGGCTGTTTAGGCAGCTGCTGCCTCCCACCCCAGAGGTGGCTGCAAAAAAACCCAACCCTTCGTCATCTAGCTGAGCTGGGGGCCCCCCGAGAAGAGTCTGGGCGCTACCGGGCTTCTCCCTGGGCGGCCGGCAGGCCCAGTGGAGCCGGGCGCGTCGCCGGTTGGCACGGCCCGGGGGGCTTTGCTGGGCCTGCCCGCTGGGAGCCCCCTTGCCCGCGGTGACCACCCCACCCCTCCCCGGCAGAGCGCCGGGGCACCTGGAACGAGCGCAAGCGGAGGACGCTGGAGCGTGTGAGCGCCGGGGAGGAGCCGTGCAGCTTCGGCAGCTTCCGCCCCGCCACCCTGACCGTCACCAACTTCTTCAAACAGGTAACGGGGCGGGGCGCCCCCTGCTGGCCCTGGTAGGGATTGCTTTGCTTTTAGGACAGGTGGGGCTTGGGGTGGATGGAGGCAGCATTTAGGGTGCTTGGGGGGTGGAGCTGCTCGTTGTGTGATGGGCAGCATTTGGCTTGGGGCAGCTGGGGCTATGGGGTGTGTTTGCTTTGGGGGCGCCTGGCCGCCTTGTGGCTCTGGGGGCTGGTGCCAGACGCCGCAGCCCCCTCCGCTCTCACGCTCGCCCGGCCCCCGCAGGAAGGCGACCGGCTGAGCACCGAGGACCTGTACAAGTTCCTGGCGGACATGAGGCGCCCGTCCTCACTGCTGCGCCGGCTGCGGCCCGTCACAGGTGCGGCTGGCAGGGACGGTGTGGGCTCTGTGTACTGGGGGGGGGGGGCGGTTAGGGGCCCATACGCAGCAGTAAGGCCCCCCGGGGAAGCTGACTATGCCCCCTTCAGGGGGCGGGGCCCCAGGTGCAGCCACAGAGCCACACCCGCAATGGCCGCTGCACCCAGGGCAACCCTCACGGCTGCTCTAACCTACATCGAGGCCAAAGGAGCCTCCGGCAGCTCTGGGGGAGGGGAGCTCCAAACCCTGCCCCCTGCACCTCCAAGCCCCGCCCCCTCCCGGGTCCCACCTTTTCCCTGCCCTGGGCCAGGGGCCAGGTGCCTTCCCCGGTTGGATTCTTCCTTGGGCCCCTTCCCACCAGCCCCTGGGCTCAGTCCTGTGTGTTAGCGTAGCCATGGCCCTCCTTTCCCATCAGGCACCGGGCCGGCTCTGGCCCTGGGGGTCTGCCCCATGCACCGGCCCCATAGCGCTAAGATCCTTACGGCCCGTCGCCTCCTCTCTGCAGCTCAGTTCAAGGTGGACATCTCGCCGGCGCCCGAGAGCCCCTACTACTGCCTCTCCCCGGAGCTGCTGCACGTCAAGCCCTACCCGGACCCCCGGGTGCGGCCTACCAAGGAGATCCTGGAGTTCCCAGCCCGGGAGGTCTATGTCCCCCACACCACCTACAGGTGGGTGGCAGCCGAGTGGGCACCCGTGAGCGCGTGGGCTGCTGGCCTCTCCTGGGGAGTCACTGGCCATGCGGCGACACCCGGGCACTGCGCAATCGGCGATCAGATGGGCGCTTTGCTGATCAGTAGGGCCGGGCGCGTCCGCTGGGACCCCTGGTACGGCCAGAGGGGCTGGCTACCAGCCCTGAGTGCACCCACGAAAGCCGCTGGGAAAATGTGACTGTAGGGGTAGTCTGACTTCTGAAGGGCAACAACAAAGATGGGGTGTGGGGAGTCAGGGCTGGGGTAGCAGGGGGCTGTGGGTTGGGAGTGAGGGCCGCCGGCAGAGCTGGGGGGGCAGGGCTGGGGTAGCAGGGGGCTGTGGGTTGGGAGTGAGGGCCGCCGGCAGAGCTGGGGGGGCAGGGCTGGGGTAGCAGGGGGCTGTGGGTTGGGAGTGAGGGCCGCCGGCAGAGCTGGGGGGGCAGGGCTGGGGTAGCAGGGGGCTGTGGGTTGGGAGTGAGGGCCGCCGGCAGAGCTGGGGGGGCAGGGCTGGGGTAGCAGGGGGCTGTGGGTTGGGAGTGAGGGCCGCCGGCAGAGCTGGGGGGTCAGGGCTGGGGTAGCAGGGGGCTGTGGGTTGGGAGTGAGGGCCGCCGGCAGAGCTGGGGGGGCAGGGCTGGGGTAGCAGGGGGCTGTGGGTTGGGAGTGAGGGCCGCCGGCAGAGCTGGGGGGGCAGGGCTGGGGTAGCAGGGGGCTGTGGGTTGGGAGTGAGGGCCGCCGGCAGAGCTGGGGGGCAGGGCTGGGGTAGCAGGGGGCTGTGGGTTGGGAGTGAGGGCCGCCGGCAGAGCTGGGGGGTCAGGGGCTGGGGTAGCAGGGGGCTGTGGGTTGGGAGTGAGGGCCGCCGGCAGAGCTGGGGGGGCAGGGCTGGGGTAGCAGGGGGCTGTGGGTTGGGAGTGAGGGCCGCCGGCAGAGCTGGGGGGGCAGGGCTGGGGTAGCAGGGGGCTGTGGGTTGGGAGTGAGGGGCCGCCGGCAGAGCTGGGGGGCAGGGCTGGAGTAGCAGGGGACTGTGGGTTGGGAGTGAGGGGCACCGGCAGGGCTGGGGGGGCAGGGCTGGGCTGGCAGGGGGCTGCTGGTCAGGAGTGAGGGCCACTGGCAGAGCTGGGGGGCAGGGCTGGGCTAGCAGGGGGCTGTGGGTTGGGAGTGAGGGGCAGCAGCAGGGCTGTGAGCCCAGGGCTGGGTTGGTGGGGGCTGCGGGTCGGGAGTGAGGGGCACTGGCAGAGCTGGGGGGAGCCAGGGGCTGGGACAGCGGGGGCTGCAGGTCGGGATTGAGGGCCACCGGCAGAGCTGTGTTATGGGGGAGCTTTTCCCTCGCGCCCCTGTAGAAGCCAGAGTCACTTTCTCTCCAATCAGCTCCAGGAGGAGGGTGGCTCCCCCCTGCCCCAGGTTCATTTATTTCCCAGGGGAGATGTGGGGGGGGAGGGAGGGAGGCTCCGGCGCTCGGTGCCAGAGACCCCGTGAGGCGTGTCCGTCCCCCGGGAGCCAGGGTCCTCCAGATCCAGCGGCCTGGCTGGCGCGGCCTGGCCCCTCATCTCGGCGCGCCCTGGAGCCGGGGTCCCCGCGGCCAGCTGGGCGTGTGCTCTCCGGGCCATCCCTCGCAGCGGTGAGGCTCCGTGTGGGTTTCTTCCGCCGTCCCGTGGGGCCTGATCATGTCCTGGTGCCAGCCTGGCCCTCCATCTGCCGGGGGAGGAGTGGGCAGGCTGAGAGCGGGGGGGGGCAATCGGCATCGTGGCGGGGGGACCGACTGGCTTTTCAGGGAGACCACCTGGGCTCCGCCCCCACAGGCAGCACCCAAAGGAGCCGATCCCTCTCACAGACCCAGGGTCCCCAGCCTGGCTCAGGCCCCCTGGCTGCAGAGGGCGGGCGGGGGGGGGATAGTTGTGCCTGAGAGCTGGGGATCATAGGCAACATGGGCTCGTGGCTAGTGCGATGGCCACAGGGCACCTGGTTCTAATCCCAGCTCTGCTAGGCCCTCTCTGCCTCAGTTTCCCTGTGGGTAGCGATGCCAGCCTTTCCCACGGCAGCCCTGAGCTGTGGCCCCCCGATCTCTCCCAAGCCGAGCTCCCCCTCCCTGCCATCCTGCGGGGGCCTTGCCTGCTTCCAGAGCCGGGCCAGCTGCTCCGCCTGCCTGGCCACTTGGTCCTGGTGCTGCCGGGCCACGTCCGCCAGGGACCAGAGAGTGAGGTTCTGCCGCTCCACGTGCGTCTGGGGAGAGGCGGGGGTCAGAGACACCCCCGCCAGCCGCGCTCTCCCCAGCTCCCCTCGTGTTAGCCCTCTGCCCCTCCCCGCGGGCTGCCTGCCCCGCATCTCCCCTGAGCTGGGGGCCCAGCAGCCCTGGGGATCAGCACGCCCCCCAACTGTTGGGGCCCAACGGATCATAGGGGCCGGATCCCAGCCGGGGTTGGTCGGCGTTGCTCCTCGGGGGCCGTTGGGGCCAGATCCCAGCTGGGGTCACTCCACTCCCCTTGACGGGCCGTGCTGATCCCCGCCAGGCGAGGTTTGAGCCCGCCGTTCAGCGCTCCCCCTGCGGCGCAGGCCAGGCCAGGGCTGGGTTCAGGGGTGTCTGACACCTGGGGTCAGTGAGCATCTGGAGCTGGGAATTCCCAGGGCCCAGGCCTGTAAGGACCCCAGCGCGCGTGCACGTTACCTTGAGAGCAGCCAGCTCCCTGCCCCCATCCTGGGGGTCCCTCCTCGCCAGACCGGCCAGCGTGTCCTCCAGCTCCCTCACCCGCTCTGCCAGCAGGAGGCGCCCTGCTAGCATTGCTCGGAAGGCCTGGGCCGTGCTCTGGGTCTGCAGCCGCAGGGCTGTCTCCTCAGCCTGGCCGGGGGGGAGAGCAGAGAGCTGTTGGGCCACTGAGCTGGGGCTGGGGATACTGCAAGGGGGGAGAGCAGCAAAAGTATCTTGCCCTGTGCCTCAGTTTCCGCATCCAGGGCTGGTAATCCTGCCCCATCCTTGGGGCTGTGGGACTGAGGCCAGGGGCTGGGTGAGCCCTCAGATGGGCAGGTGAAGTGGGAGACCCAGAGACTTGGGGGTTAATAGACACCTGGCCCCAGCCGGGGAGGCACCCCCAAATCCTCTTAGCCCCAGGGCCAGGGTCCAGCGACCTCGTCCTCCTCCCCGCCTGGCCTCCCGCAGGCTTTGCAGACTCTAAACCATCACCCTCTGCTGTGCAGCTGGGGAAACTGAGGCACAGATGTGACCCGCAACTTGAAACCTTGAGCAAGTGCCAGAGCCAGGAATAAAACTCAGGAGTCCTGGCTCCCAACCCCCCTCCCCTACTTCCCCCGTGCTCCCCAGGTGGGTACCTTGAGCCCCTCCACTGCCCCGCGCAGCTCCCCCACTGCCTGCCGGGCCTGGCGCGCCTGGTGCTGCAGGGCCCCCAGCAGGTGTTGGCAGCGCCCGACCCGGCGCCCGGCCTGCTCCAGCCGCTGCCCCGTGGTGCCATGGGTCTCATGCAGCGCCTGGCTGAACTGCAGCACCCCATAGACCAGGATGTCCACCTCCTCCTGCGGGGCCCCCCCTGGGGCGGGCAGGGCTGCGCCAGGAGGCAGCAGGGCCAGCAGCAGCACCAGGCTCAGCATCGCCCAGCACCTGGCGCCGGAGGGTAGGAGGCGGCCTTATGTGGGCCTGGGGACTGGGGGTGGGGTGGGGCAGGGCATTGGGTGTCTGGTGAGCGTCTCCTCCCCGCCCCCGGGGCTCCGGTGCCAGCAGACTTTGGCAGCTGGCGTGGGTCCAGCGCCCTGTCCTGATGGCTGCCCTGGGGCATGGAGCCCCTGGCCGGGGCAGGGCAGTTGCGAAAGGGGGTTGCGTCAGAGGCGGGCAGCGAGGGGTTAATAGCAGAGCCGGCAAGGGCTCCTCAAAGCTCCCTGCCGCCAGCGCGGGCTGGGGGGGGTGCGGGACAGAGCCCCAGCAGGCAACCATAGAGCTCCTGACCCCCCCAACCACTAGATCCCGCTCCCCGCGCAGAGCCGGGGGGAGAACCCAGAAGTCCTGACACTCCCCCACCCCAACCACTAGACCCCACTCCCCTCCCAGAGCTGGGGAGAGAACCCAGGAGTCCTGGTTCCCAGCCCTGCCCCTCTAACCACTAGATCCTGCTCCCCTCCCAGACTGGGGTTCCAGCTGAGACAGGAGCTGGGGCTGTCCTGTGCAGGGCAGCAGGGGGATGACACCAAATCGCAAACCAAATCCTTCCCCAAATCCTCCCCCGCCTTTCATCCCCCTCCCCCGCACTCCTGGCTCCCTTCTGCCCATTGGCTCTTTGCCTGACGAGCTGCGTGGCCGCCCCAGAGCGGCCTCGTGGTCAGTCCCATCAGGGTCACTGGCGGGCAGCCATGTGCAGGCGGGGATCAGGCAGGGGCTGGGGGGGCAGGAGGCACCACTGCCCAGCCGGGGGGGGAGGAAGGCAGGGCAGCACCACCTAGGAGCTAGGATGCCTGGGTTCTCTCCTCTGCCTTGGCACCAAGCTCCTTCCCCCCTCCGTGCCTCAGTTTCCCTCCCTGCAATGGGGCCGCTGCTCTGCCCCGCAGGCCTCTGGGGGGCAGGACCCCGCCTGCAGGCTGCAGCTGTGTGAATGGGTGTTGCTGGGCCCCGCTGACCCCTTGCATGTCTCTCCTGCCCTCCCAGGAACCTGCTCTACGTCTATCCCCACAGTCTGAACTTCAGCAGCCGCCAGGGCTCGGTGCGCAACATCGCCGTGAAGGTGCAGTTCATGGCGGGCGAGGACCCCAGCCAGGCCCTGCCGGTGAGTGCTGGCCTCAGCCCAGAGCTCCCTGGTCCCCCCTGCCCGGGAGCGACAGCCGGCAGGGGCACCCAGCTTCTTCCGCCCCAGGGCACAGCCAGGGCACCTGTGCCGATGGCCCGTTTGGGGGGCAGCAGAAATGGACCTGAGAAAGGGGTGAAGCCGAGATGGGTCTGTCCCCGCCCGCTGAGAGTGGGCACCGCCCCTCCCTGCTTGCAGCCCAGAAGCAGAGTCTGGCCGAGCAAGAGGCTGGGGGGCCCTGGCCCTACACCAAAGCGCCATCCCAGGGGCGGAAGGGATGGGGTACCCTGGGGGTGCTGGGCCCGTGGGGGCGATAGGCTCTGGCTCTCCTCAGGGCGTCACTGAGCCGCAGCCTCCAGCCCGTCTCGGGATTTCAGGGGCCTGGCTGGAGAGTTTTGCCTCCTCGGGGCTGCCAAGCCTGAGACACCCCAAAAACGCCCAGGCTTCAGGGGAGCCACGGGTTGCCTGCAAACCCAGGGCCCTTCGAGGCACCTCACGTCAGCCCCGAGATCAGGTGGGGGGCCCCCAGCTCTGCGATGTTAATAGGGGGCACCCAAAGCTTCCAACCAAAGGTTGAACTCTCTCCAGGAGCCCAGGGAAGTTAAACCCATGCCTGGTGCCTGAACCCCCTCGTCAGCACTGTCCCTCTCCCATCTCTTGCCGTCGTGTTGTTCTGTGGCCATCCCGCCTGTCTTCCCCAGGCCAGGGGTGGCCGCAGTTCAGCCCCCCCTCACCTGGTGTCACCTCATTTCTCTTTCACCAGGTGATATTTGGCAAGTCGAGCTGCAGCGAGTTTATGAGGGAGGCCTACACGGCCGTGGTGTATCACAACAGGTGAGCGCTGGCCACCCAGCTGTCGAGGCCTGCGGGGGCCTATTTCAGTAAATACGGTAACCCACCTAGGGGTGTTGGGGGGGGGGGGTGCTAAGCTGGATTTGGGGAGGCTATTTCAGTTAATATGGTAACCCGCCTAGGGGTGTCTGCGTGGGGGTGCTAAGCTGGATGGGGGGGCTATTTCAGTTAATGCAGTAACCCGCCTATGGGTGTCTGGGTGGGGGGTGCTAAACTGGATTGGGGGGGCTGTTTCAGTTAATATGGTAACCCGTCTAGGGGTGTTTAGGTTGAGGGGGGCGCTGGGCCAGGCCGGTCTCTGCCGTGGGCCGGGGCCCAGGGCAGCCCCCCAGCCTGGAGATCGGGGGGAGGGGGTTCAGTGCCTGAGCGTGGGGATCGGGGGGTGCCCCGCGCGGACGGCTTGGGGCCCTCACTGCTTGCTGGCACCCCCCAGGTGCCCCGAGTTCTACGAGGAGTTCAAGCTGCGGATCCCGCCCGCCCTGACGGACAATCACCACCTGCTCTTCACCTTCTACCACGTCAGCTGCCAGCCGAAGCAGAACACGCCGCTGGAGACTCCCGTCGGCTACACGGTCCGCCTGGCCCCAGGGTCCTCCTCCCTGCCCCCCGGAACCTCCCCAGGCCCTCGGACCCCCAAATCCCTGCCCCCTGGGAACCTCCCCCACCCCTGGTCCCCCTGCAGGCCTGCGTCCCTGCCCCCCGGGAACCTCCCCAGGCCCTCGGACCCCCAAATCCCTGCCCCCTGGGAACCTCCCCCACCCCGGTCCCCCTGCAGGCCTGCGTCCCTGCCCCCCGGGAACCTCCCCAGGCCCTCGGACCCCCAAATCCCTGCCCCCTGGGAACCTCCACCACCCCTGGTCCCCCTGCAGGCCTGCGTCCCTGCCCCCCAGGAACCTCCCCAGGGCCTCAAACCCCCAAATCCCTGCCCCTGGGAACCTCCCCCACCCCTGGTCCCCCTGCAGGCCTGCGTCCCTGCCCCCGGGAACCTCCCCAGGCCCTCGGACCCCCAAATCCCTGCCCCCTGGGAACCTCCCCCACCCCGGTCCCCCTGCAGGCCTGCGTCCCTGCCCCCCCGGGAACCTCCCCAGGCCCTCGGACCCCCAAATCCCTGCCCCCTGGGAACCTCCCCCACCCCTGGTCCCCCTGCAGGCCCGCATCCCTGCCCCCCGGGAGCCTTCCCAGGGCTTCGGACCCCCAAATCCCTGCCCTCGGGAACCTTCCCAGGGCCTTGGACCCCCATATCCCTGCCCCCTGGGAACCTCCCTAGCCCTGAGGCCCCCCCTGTCTTGTGTCCCTGCCCTGGGAACCTCCCTGGCCGCTCGGACCCCCCGCCCTGTGTCCGGGTCCCCCAGGAACCTCACCACCCCATGGCCCAGTCCCCCGGGCTCATCCCCACTCTCTCCCGCCAGTGGATCCCGCTGCTGCAGCACGGCCGTCTGCGGACGGGGCCCCTCTGCCTGCCCGTGTCGGTGGAGAAGCCCCCGCCCAGCTACTCCGTGCTCACCCCTGACGTAAGTAGGCACGGTGGCTCCGTGGCAGCCCTGGGCCGGCTGGACCCAGTGTTCCGGCCCCTGGCCCAAGGGGGCGCCGGTCGGCTCGGGCTGGGCTCTGGGAGGTGCGTGTCCAGGCCAGCAGACCCAGTCTGGACCTCGCAGGGCCCTGCTGGGACCTCCTCACACCCAGCACCCTCGCCCAGTGAGGCCGGGGTGGGGGGAGTCAGCCCCCTTTGAGACGGGGCTAAGCAGGGCCGGGCGGGGGTGTCCTTCCTTCGGGCACTACCTGCCCTGCAGCTGGCAGGGAAACTGAGTCACGGGGGCGGGGTCAGATCCCAAGAGGGAGCGCTGCCGTGCCCTCTGCCCATGGGGATGGGGTGGGAGCGGGTGCAGGGGCCGGGCCCCGGGTAGGGGCAGGTGTGGGGGGCCGGGGGAGGGAGTGGGGCCAGGAGCAGTCAGGGGCTGGGGCCCACGGCTCTCCCTCCCCGCTGGCAGGTGCAGCTCCCCGGCATGAAGTGGGTCGATAACCACAAGGGGGTGTTTCACGTGGAGCTGCTGGCCGTGTCCTCGGTGCACACGCAGGTGAGGGGGGACTGGGGGGGCATCCTGGCTGACTGGAGCTGTGTGGTTCCCCAGCGGGGGTGGGGAAGTGGTGTGGGGGGAACGGGGGGGTGCTGGAACTGGGATCCCCGGGGGGTGGGGTGGGTAGGAGGATGGGGGAGGTTGGGGTGCTTTGTAAGGCTTCCCAGTGGGGTGGGGAGGTACAGGGGATGGGGGTCGAGGCTCCAGGGCACCGTGTCTAGTTACTGCGTGTTGGGCGCTTTGCCCGGCTGCGCTGGGTCCCCGGGGGCCTGGCTGAGGATCTGGGCCCTGCCCATCGTCCTCATGCGCCATCTGTCTCTGGGGCTGGGATTGGGGCCTGCGCCCCCTGGCTCCAGACCCGCCGCCCCAGCTCTTGGCCATCACGCGCCTGCTGGCACCAGTCCCAGCCCCCCCTCTGCCAACGTACCCAGCGTCCCTGTGGCTGATGGGTCTGATCCCTCTGTGCCCGCACTAGGTACCCACTGGGCTGCCCCGTGGGGAGCTAGAGCCTGGCGTTGGAGGCCAGGACTCCTGGGTCCATTTCCCAGGTCGTTGGTCCCCCCCCTGCACTGGGGGGCACTAGTGCAAGAGGGCGGATCGGCGCCAGCCAGTGCTGGGAGATCCCAGGAGGCAGGAGCTGGGGCTGCCCCCCCCCCGGTGCCACCTGCCCCTGTCCCCCGGCAGGACCCCGCCCTGGATAAGTTCTTCACGCTGGGCCACGTGCTGGAGGAGAGCAACTTCCCGGTGCGCCTGCGGGACGCCGTGCTGACCGAGAGCAGCGTGGAGGGGGAGCTGCGGGCCAGCGTGGCGGGGCTGCGGGGGGCCGGCCTGGGGCCACTGCTGGCCCACTGCCACCAGGTCCTGGACAAGCTGCTGCTGCTCATCGCCCGGCCGCCCGTCATCGGGGGCCAGATCGGTGAGTGCCTGGCCACCCCGCGGGGACCTCGCCCTGTGATCGGGGGGAGCTCGGCCCCCACGGCCACCCCGTGGGGACCTCGCCCTGTGATCGGGGGGAGCTGAGCCCCCCCCGCCACCCCGCAGGGTCCTCGCCCTGTGATTGGGGGGGTGCCTGCCTCTCCCCCACCTGGGGTTCTCGGCGCCTGATCACCAGAGTACCTAGTGCTGCCCCCCACGGGGACCTCGCCCCCTGATCGCCGGATTACCTGGCATCTCTTCCCCACACCCGCCCCGCGAGGATCTCGGCCCCTGAGTGTCGGGGGCCAGAGCAGCAAGTTGCAGGCTTAACAGGGTCTGGAAAAAGGGAATGGGGGGGTCTGTCGTTTTCTGCCGATCGAATTCTGCCCCCCCACCTCTGCTCCTCCTGGGGACTCGCTCACCCCCTTTCCAGGCCTGGGGGGGCAGCACTGGGGTCCCCTCCCCCTTCCCAGGCTAGGTGCTAGGCTAGGGAAGACCACCAATCAGGGGGGGCTTTTTACACAGTCGATTTCCCAGTTGTGACCCGGGGCATGTGTCAGAGCCCCCGCCCCAGGGGAGCCTTAGCCCTGCTGTCCCAAAGGGGAAACTGAGGCACCGGGAGGGGCAGTGGCTTGCCTGTGATCGGCCAGAGGCAGAGCCAAGGACTCCCGCGTGCCAGGGCAGGGCTCCCCCCACTGGGCCAGGACCGATGGGGACCTGCTCCCATGCCCCAGGGAGAGGAACCCAGGAGTCCTGGGGCCCAGCCCTGCCCTGGCTCACCCCCGCCCGCTTCGCGACTTCCCTCAGTCAACCTGGGCCGCGCCGCCTTCGAGGCCATGGCCGTCATGGTGAACCAGATCCACCAGGGCCTGGAGGCCAGCCAGGGCCAGCATGGCCACAACCCGCTGCTGGCCGCCTACATCCACTTCGCCTTCCGCCTGCCCGCCGAGCCGCCGGCCCCGGGGAGCGGTGAGCTGGGGGGGGCAGAGCCCCCGGGGGGCTCCTCGGCTGGGGGAGCTCCAGGAAGCCGGCCCCTTAACATCCATGGGGCTGTGAGTTCTGGGGGGGGCGGGGCGGCTGCTGGGGACCAGTTGTCAGGGGTGTGGGGGAGGCAGGGGCTGCTTCTGGGGAGGGGTGGGTGGGAGGAGTCCAGTGGGGAGAGGAGGGCTGCTCCCAGGGGGGTGGGGAGGGGGTCTGATCCCAGGAGGGGATCCTTGGGAATGGGGACAGAGTCGGGGAGGGGAACTGGGCTGAGATGCAGGACTCCTGGGTTCTCTCCCCAGCCTTGGGAGGGGAGTGGGGTGTGATGGTTAGAGCAGGGGGCTGGGAGCCAGGACTCCTGGGTTCTCCAAGGGGGTTAAATGCCTCCCCCGCCGTTGACTCCCCCCCGGGTGTGTTTGTTCCAGAGGCCGGGACGCCACCCCATGGGGCTGCCATCCAGTGTGCCACCCTGTCCCGTGCCTCCGGCCGCCCTGCCAGCCTCAACCTGTCGCGCTCCAAGAGCATCAGCAGCAGCAACCCCGACCTGGCCACCGCGCCCGGCTCCCCCGACGGCGAGGTGCAGAAGATCCTGGGCAGCAAAGTAAGGCCGGCGCTGGCTGCGCCCTGGGGAGGGGCGCCCGGGGCCCGCACCCCCGACCCCCTTCCCGGCTCTGCCGCTCCCCCGGGGCGCTCTGCACCCTCCAGGGTGGAATTGGCCCCCTGGGTCGCCCTTCCCCGCGGTCCGTGCAAGCTGCCGGTCGGGGCACGGCTCCCCCGTCCCCTGCCACCTTCCCCGCTTGGTGCTTTCGGGCTGGGGCTGCTCCGGTGGTGGGTCGCTCTGGGTGGGGCCTTTCCTCCCGGTTCCCGTCTGCAATCCCACTGGGGGTGGGCGGGGGTCCTGCTCTTGGCTCTGAATCCGCCCTCCCCCTGGTGACGGCTCTCGCTGCTCTCTTCTCTCCCGGCGGCCGCGGTGCAGGGGATCGACCGCTCGCACTCCTGGGTGAACTCGGCCTACGCCCCCGGCGGGCCCAAGGCCGTGCTCCGCCGGAACCCGCCCAGCTCCAGCGCCGACCTCAAACAGGTGCCCCTTCCCCTTCTCCGCTTCGCTTGCCAGCCACGCCGGGCCCCTGCCGGGCCCCCGGCCCGCCCAGCGCTGACCCCTGCTGGTGGGGAGCGAGGCCTGCGGCGCCTCTTCGCTGTCCCTCGGCACCTCCGCCCGGGGTGGGCGGGTAGATCCGGAGCAGACCCCGCATGGGGCACGGGGTGGGGGGGGCTCATCCATCACATCTCTCCTCTGCTCCATCCTCTTGTTCCATTAACTCCTCTCCTCCATCGTCACGGCCCCCCGCAGGCCTGCGAGCGAAGCTCTAACCGCCTCTCCTCCTTCCTGGAGCACCCCTCCGCGCCTGCCGCCCCCACCAGGCCGACCGCCAAGAAGGTAGAGGGGGCGGGAGGGCGGCCCAGCAAAAATCGGGAGGCGGGGGGATGGTTCTTGCTCACTACAGCTGATCCTCAGGCTCACCCCACCCACCCCCCGCATCCACCCATGGGACAGAGGAGACCCGGGGTGGGGGTGGGGTCTCATGATCAAAGCCCAAGGCTGGGAGCCCGGACTCCTGGGTTCTGTCCCCCATGCTGGGAGGGGAGTGGGAGCTAGTGGTGAGAGTGGGGGGGGCTGGGAGCCAGGACTCCTGGGTTCCATCCCTGGCTCTAGGAGCAGGAAGTGATGTAATGGCTAAAGTTGGAGCACTGGGAGTCCGGTCCTCTGCCCCCAGCCTCGCCACTGACATCCTGTGTGGCCTGGGGTAGGTCATGTCCCTTTTCTGTGCCTCAGTTTCCCCACTGATAACGCTTAGCCTCACTGGGGTGACAGGAGGCCGAGTTAACGAACCCCAGGAAAGTGCTTGGAGCCCTGCCCTGGAGAGTCCCAGTGTGTCGTTAGAGCGTTGAATCGGTCCTGGGCTGTGATCCCGCCCACACCCGACGCATTATTCAAAATCCTCTCACTCCAAAATCGTTCCGTGCCCCGGGTCCCCCGGCCGGACAGAGAGAGAATCCGGGTCGGGGGGAGACGTCTCCTTTCAGACAGGTTCCATCTATCACCCCCCAGCTAAAATCTCCTGTCTCTGTTACTCTCCATCCATCTTCTGCCCTGCGCCCCATCACCATCCACCCCTCCTCTGCCATGTCTGCGTGAGCCGCCTTCCACCTCAGCCCCTCGCCGGCTTCCTCGCCGGTGTGCCCAGGGAGCGCCCGGCTGGGCCGCTTTCCCCTCCAGGTTCGCAGCCTCGGGCCGGCGGGGAGGTGCAGCCACCGGGTCCCGCAGCCGAGGGCAGGCCCGGCGCCCAGTGGTAGCCGTGAGCTAACGGAGGGGCCCAGTGTGTTTCGGGGGGAGACACGCTGCAGACCAGCCGTAGGCCGTAAGGAATTCCGGCAGGGCCGTGCTGGGGCCAGACGAACCCAGGGTCTGTCCCCGCCCTGGGCCCCTCTCCGGAGCGTTTCCGCCGCTCGGCCCGCCCAGGCAAGCATCGGTGGGGAGCGCGGTACCGTTCCCAGGCCAGGAGGACTGCCCGAGCCAGGCCTGGCGCGTGCCAGCGGGGCTGGACCCACGTAGCTGAGTCTCCCTGCGCCTCGGTTCCCCACCTGTGCCGAGGGGTCAGAACCTGGCCTGGCCACGGGGGAGGCGGGGCGCGGTTGTGTGGACTGGGGAGCAGGAAGGGTGATGGGGGCTGGCGTAAATCAGTGTAAATTCCTGCTGGGGCCAGGCCTCGGAGCAGTGGGAGAGGGGGAAGACACTTGATGCCCCAGCCCGGGAGGAGATGAGCTCCCCCTCCAAGTTACCCCCTTGGTGCTGCCCCCCCCCGTTAACCACCCGTCCGTCTCTGCCCAGCTGCTGCACGAGGAGCTGGCCCTGCAGTGGGTGGTGAGCACCAGCGCCGTGCGCGAGGCCGTGATACGCCAGGCCTGGTTCTTCTTCCGGCTGCTGGTGAGTGCCCGGGAGGGGCCCCTCCCTCAGCCCCCTTGGCCCTGGCAGCCCCCCTAGTGTCCAGGCTCCCCCAGCATTAGCCCCGTGTCCGTCCCCGCGCCGCGCATCGGCCTTGGCCTGGCAGCCCCCCAGCACCGTCCCTGGGCTCATGGGGCGGGGAAGGGGCCGGCGCCTCCTGCTGGGGAGGGAGGCTCCAGGCTGCGGTTCCGGCAGCAGGTGGCTGCCGTCCCCCGGCGGGGGGTTCCTTGGTCCCCACGGCTCCTGCCCCCGCTGCAGCTCCCCCTCCCCCCGGTGGCCCCTGCCTGCCCCCCGCCTGTGCCCAGCGCTGACGGCTCTCGCCTGCAGGGGAAGAGCATGGCCCTGCATCTGCACCAGGCCGAGAAGCTGGAGGCCCCGCGCCGGGAGCGCTTCCCCAGCCGCTTCGTGGACGACATCGCCGCCCTGGTGGGCGCTGTCAGCATCGAGATCGCCACCCGCTACCAGAAGGTCGGTGCCCCCACCTGCCCCCCTGCCCCCCCCGCCCCTCTTCCCATTAAGCTGTCCCCCCATTGTCATCTATCCCCTGCTCATCTGTCCATCTAGGTATCCAGCCAGCCCCCCCGTAACCCACCCGTGTGTCCCTCCCTCCATCCCCAGCCTGTCCGGCCCCACACTGTCCATCCATCCCCTATTCCCCCCACCCCCGGCCAGCCCCCCTGTTCTCCATCCGCTCCTCCTGTCTGCCCCTCCCTCCACCTGCCCTTGCTGGCCCCCAGCCCAGCCTCCTTTCTCACCCCACCCATTGCTCCTGGACTGCTTGGAGTCCCGTGTCCCTGGGGGTCTGTCACGGGGTGTCACAGAGTCCCGGGCGATGCTCTGGAACTGCTCCCCGTGAAGCCAGTCAGGACTCTGGGGCAGTCTCCTCTCTGGGAGCAGACTGTCTTCAGGACACACAGCTCACCCGGCTTCCACCTTCCTGGGTCTGACCTCGGAGCATTCAGCATCCTCTGCCCCTCCGTGCGCTTCCCACAGCGAGTCCGCTCAGGCGGAGTCCTGGGGAAGCCAGAGGGTCCTGCACCCCAACTTCGCAGTCAGACGGGACTCTCAGCCAGCCAGGAAAACAGAAGGTTTATTAGACGACAGGAACATGGTCTAAAACAGAGCTTGTAGGTGCAGAGAACAGGACCCCTCAGCTGGGTCCATTTTGGGGGGCAGTGAGCCAGACAACCATGTCTGCCCTTCACTCCTCGTCCCCAGCCAGCCCCAAACTGAAACTCTCTCCAGCCCCTCCTCCTCGGGGCTTTGTCCCTTTCCCGGGCCAGGAGGTCACCTGGTTCCTTTGTTCTCCAACCCTTTAGTTCTCACCTTGCAGGGGGGAAGGGCCCAGGCCATCAGTGGCCAGGAAACAGGGTGTCGGCCATTCTCTGTGTCCAGGTTTCAGAGTAACAGCCGTGTTAGTCTGTATTCGCAAAAAGAAAAGGAGGACTTGTGGCACCTTAGAGACTAACCAATTCATTTGAGCATGAGCTTTCGTGAGCTGCTGGTAATAGCTTATCTAAAGTGATCATCAAATTGGGCCATGTCCAGCACAAATCCAGGTTTTCTCACCCCCCCCCCCTTTTCCCGGGGACACAGACACACACACACAAACTCACTCTTGAGTTTGTGTGTGTGTCTGTGTCCCCGGGAAAAGGGGGGGGGGGTGAGAAAACCTGGATTTGTGCTGGACATGGCCCACCTTGATTACCATGCACATTGTAGGGAGAGTGATCACTTTAGATAAGCTATTACCAGCAGGGCAGTGGGGTGGGAGGAGGTATTGTTTCATGATCTCTGTGTGTATATAAAGTCTGCTGCAGTTTCCACGGGATGCATCCGATGAAGTGAGCTGTAGCTCCCGAAAGCTCATGCTCAAATAAATTGGTTAGTCTCTAAGGTGCCACGAGTCCTCCTTTTCTTTCTCTGTCTCCAGACCCCTGCACACACCTGCCCTCTAGGGCTCTGCAATGATCATACACCCTTACCCCACCCCCTAGAGACTTGAGAACTGCCTGGGGGAAACTGAGGCACCCCCACGCTATTCCGAGGAAACATTAAGAACAGTCCCGCTTTGTCACACCATTGCTCCTGGATTGCTTGGAGCCCCGTGTCCCTGGGGGGCATAAACACCCCCCCACCCACCCCCCGGCCTTGTCCCGGCAGGACGTGGAGCTGGTGGAGTGCCTCAACAGCAGCCTGGCCTTCTTCCTCAACGACCTGCTCTCCCTGATGGACCGCGGCTTCGTCTTCGGCCTCATCCGCGCCTACTACAAGCAGGTTGGCTGGGGCAGTCTTCCCACGGGACGTCCTGGGGCTGGGAGTTCCGCAGGCCCGGGCCGGGCCAGGGCTTTGAAACCCCCCTAGGGTGGTCGGTTCTCCACTTTGAGCTGCGGCCTCAGAACCGGGTTGGGGTGGGGGGCTGTGCCACCGGGCTACAGGAGATCAGCCAGCGAACTCCCAGAGCTGGGGAGGGGGTGGGCACGGGGGGCTAGAGTGGGCGGGCGGGAAAGGGGGCCTTTGGGGGGAACAGGCGGGAAAGAGGGGTGTTGGGGGGGACAGTTGAGCGGGGGGGTCTGGCGGGAAAGGGGGCGGTCGGGGGGAACAGCTGGGCTGGGGGGGCAGGCGGGAAAGGGGACGGTCGGGGGGAAGCAGGCAGGAAAGTGGGTGGTCGGGGGCGACAGTTGAGCCAGGGGGGCAGGCGAGAAAGGGGGCGGTCGGGGGGGCAGCTGGGCCGGTGGGGGCGGGCAGGCGGGAAAAGGGGTGGTCGGGAGGGGGGCAGCTGGGCCGGGGGGATTGCCTGGGGAGCTGTCAGCTGCCGGGCTGTCCCCGGGAGCCCGTCCCCCCCGTCACAGGCTGCGTCCCCCCCAGATCGGTAACCGGCTGCCGAGCGCCCAGAACCCCCCCGCCCTGGTGGCGCTGCGCCTGGATTTCCTGCGCGTCGTCTGCAGCCACGAGCACTTCGTCAGCCTGAACCTGCCCTGGCATCGCCTCTCGCCGCCCGCCTCGCCCTCGCCCTCCGTGTCCTCCGCCACCTCCCAGGTACGGCCCGCGGCCAGGCCCAAGCCCCCGGGCGCCCCCCGGAGCGGAGCAAAATCCACCCTGGGCCCCCGTCTCTGCCTGGGGGGTGCCAGTCTGGGGAGGTCCCTCACCGAGCTCTGGCACCCCCGGCCCAGCCATCACAGCCGGGGGGAGCCCCCGGCTGGCGGGCAGCACTGAGGGGGGAATCACGGGGGGGGGAGCCCCCCGGCTGGCGGGCGGCACCGTGGGGGGGACCCAGGCATAGGGCAGTGGCTGGCCAGGCGGTTCTTGTTCCCATGGCTCTCCCCCGCCCCCACCCTTGTGCCACCTTCTCCCCCCACCCCCTGTGCTCCCGGCTCATGCCCGCTCGCTCCCGCAGGGCTCGGCCTTCTCCAGCCCGGCACAGGACCCGCGGGTGGCCAGCATGTTCGAGCTGTCGGGGCCCTACCGCCGGCAGCATTTCCTGGCGGGGCTGGTGTTGACGGAGTTGGCGCTCGTCCTGGAGCCGGATGCCGAAGGGTGAGCGGGGTCCCCCGGCCGCTCTCCCGGGGAGGCCCGGGTCCCCCCTGCGATCCAGCCCAGAGCGCGCGAGAGCTTCCCGCGGGTGGGTGGGCCCAGGACTCCTGGGTTCTATCCCAGGTCAGGGAAGGGAGTTGGGTGCAGTGGTTAGAGCAGGGGGGCTGGGAGCCCGGACTCCTGGGTTCTTGCCCCAGCTCGAGAGGGGGAGTTGGGTGTAGTTGTTAGAGCAGGGGGGGCTGGGAGCCCGGACGCCTGGGTTCTATCCCAGCTCGGGGAGGGGAATTGGGTGGAGTGGTTAGAGCAGGGAGGCTGGGGGCCTGGACTCCTGGGTTCTTGCCCCAGCTCGGGGAGGGAAGTTGGGTGCAGTGGGTAGAGCGGGGAAGTCTCATTCCCAGGCCCCGTCTCACGCAGCCCCCTCCTTCCCTCCCCCTCCCCCTCCCCCACCCCGCAGCGTCTTCTTCCTGCACAAGAAGGCCATCAGTGCCCTGCACAGTCTGCTGTGCAGCCATGATGCCGACGCCCGCTACGCCACCCCCTCCGCCCGCGCCCACGTGGCCCGGCTGTACCTGCCGCTCCTCAGCATCGCCCTGGACGCCCTGCCGCAGCTCTACGACTTCACCGGTGAGCGGGGAGGGCTCGGACCTGCCCGGGCAGCCCCCCCCCCAGAGTACACAGCAACGCCCAGCCAGCCCCCGGCTCTAACCACTAGACCCCGCTCCCCTCCTGGAGCCAGGGAGAGAACCCAGGAGTCCTGGCTCCCAGCCCCCGGCTCTAACCCACCAGCCTCCACTCCCCTCCTGGAGCCAGGGAGAGAACCCAGGAGTCCTGGCTCCCAGTCCCCCCTGCTCTAACCCACCAGCCTCCACTCCCCTCCTGGAGCCAGGGAGAGAACCCAGGAGTCCCGGCTCCCAGCCCCCCCTGCTCTAACCCACCAGCCTCCACTCCCCTCCTGGAGCCAGGGAGAGAACCCAGGAGTCCTGGCTCTCAGCCCCCGGCTCTAACCCACCAGCCTCCACTCCCCTCCTGGAGCCAGGGAGAGAACCCAGGAGTCCTGGCTCCCAGTCCCCCTTGCTCTAACCCACCCCTCCACCTCCCCCCCCGAGCTGGGAGAGAACCCAGGGTCCTCTCCCAGCCCCTGACTCTAGCCCACCAGCCTCCACTCCCCTCCTGGAGCCAGGGAGAGAACCTAGGAGTCCTGGCTCCCAGTCCCCCTTGCTCTAACCCACCGGCCTCCACTCCCCTCCCCGAGCTGGGGAGAGAACCCAGGAGTCCTGGCTCCCAGCCCCCAGCTCTAACCCACCAGCCTCCACTCCCCTCCTGGAGCCAGGGAGAGAACCCAGGAGTCCTGGCTCCCAGTCCCCCCTGCTCTAACCCACCAGCCTCCACTCCCCTCCCGGAGCCGGGGAGAAAACCCAGGAGTCCTGGCTCTCAGCCCCGGCTCTAACCCACCAGCCTCCACTCCCCTCCCGGAGCCGGGGAGAGAACCCAGGAGTCCTGGCTCCCAGTCCCCCCTGCTCTAACCCACCAGCCTCCACTCCCCTCCCCGAGCCAGGGAGAGAACCCAGGAGTCCTGGCTCTCAGCCCCCGGCTCTAACCCACCAGCCTCCACTCCCCTTCTGGAGCCAGGGAGAGAACCCAGGAGTCCTGGCTCCCAGTCCCCCCTGCTCTAACCCACCAACCTCCACTCCCCTCCCAGAGCCGGGGAGAGAACCCAGGAATCCTGGCTCCCAGCCCCCCCTGCTCTAACCCACCAGCCTCCACTCCCCTCCCCGAGCCGGGGAGAGAACCCAGGAGTCCTGGCTCCCAGCCCCTACTCCCCTCACACACCAGCCCCCACTCCCCTCCCAGAGCCGGGGAGAGAACCCAGGAGTCCTGGCTCTCAGCCCCCCTGCTCTAACCCACTAGACCCCGTCCCCTTCCCAGAGCCGGGGAGAGAACCCAGAAGTCTGAGCTCCAGCCCCTCCAGGTCCTGGCTCTGTTCCCTTTTCTCTGTCCGGGGACCCCCCAGGCTGCCTACTGCCCCGACACCCTCCAGCCCTGCGCTGTCTCCCCACAGAGAACCACAGTCCACGCGGGCGCCTGGTCACTGTGCCGGGGGATGAAGGAGACAGTGACAGCGGCACCATCAGCCAGTCAGTGGCCATGGCCATTGCCGGCTCCCCGCTGCCCCACGCCCACCGGGCCAGCCCCTTCCTGCTGCCAGCAGCCGTGAGTACCTGTCGGGGCACGGGGGTAGGAGGGGAGCCTAGAGGCCCCCCGGGACATCAGAGCAACCCCGATCTCTGGAGATGGAGAGCTCTTTCCAGGGACCCCTCCCTCCCAGAGCTGGGGAGAGAACCCAGGCGTCCTGGCTCCCAGCCCCCGCCCTCTAACAACTAGACCCCTACCCGGAGCCAGGAGTGGCTCCCCTTTGAGCACAGCGCCCCCTGGGGGTGGGTGGCATCTGCGGGCTCGTTAGGCCTTGCAGGGCTGTCCCTAGTGAGCAGCTGGGCATGGGCGGGGTGGGGTCTGCCCCCAGGATTGATCCTGGGCCCCAGCTGTGAGAGTGAAACCAGGGGCTGGGAATGGGGGGCAGCTGCTGGAGGGCACCCCATGGGGTACGGTCCTGGAGCTCCCCCCACAGCCGGGTGGGGATGGGCGCTGACCCCGTCTCTCCCCGCAGCCCCCCCGCCCGGGTGGCACTCTGTCGGCCGAGGCGAGCCGCACCCTGCTGGCCTGCCTGCTGTGGGTGCTGAAGAACGGGGACGCGGGGGCGCTGCAAGGCTGGTTTGCGGAGCTGTCCCCCCTGCACCTCGGCCGCCTCCTTGACCTGCTCTACCTCTGCGTGGCCTGCTTCGAGTACAAGGTGGGGGGGACCTGGGGGGACCCAGTGAGCCGTGGGGATCTGGAGGCAGGGATCCAGCAGGCGGGGGGCCAGATCTGGGGGGAACCCAGTGGGTCGGGGGGATCTGGGGGCCGGGATCCAGAGCTTGGGGGGGCAGATCTGGGGGGAAACCCAGAGGGCCGGGCAGATCTGGAGGTAGGGATCCAGAGGTCGGGGGGGCAGATCTGGAGGCAGGGATCCAGAGCTCGGGGGGGCAGATCTGGGGGGAAACCCAGAGGGCCGGGCAGATCTGGAGGTAGGGATCCAGAGGTCGGGGGGGGCAGATCTGGGGGGGAACCCAGCAGGCTGGGTGGATCTGGGGGCAGGGATCCAGCGGGCCGGGGGGCAGATCTGGGGGGAGAACCCGGCGGGGCGGAGCAGGGCGGTCCCCAGACACAGCCCTGAGCGTCCGGGCCCCCTGGGGCTCCATGTAGGGTGCAGCGCCCCCTGCAGGCTGTGTGCCCTGGCCGGGGACCCTCATCTCCAGCCTCTGTCCAGGCTGCCGGGGGGCCCCTCCCCTGCCCAGCCCCGCTTGGAGTCACGGGGGCCCATGCTGGGGGGCTGGGTCTGATTCCCTGGGGAACCTTCCATCAGCCCCCCCAGTGCTTAATCCGGCTCCCTGCGGCCGCCCCCGACCCCAGCCCTGTTCTCACCCCCCCACTCCCGCAGGGCAGGAAGGCCTTCGAGCGCATCAGCAGCCTGGCCTTTAAGAAGTCGCTGGACATGAAGGCGCGGCTGGAGGAGGCCATCCTGGGCACCGTCGGGGCGCGCCAGGAGATGGTGCGGCGCAGCAGGGGTGAGCCGGGGCGGGGGGAGTGGGACGGTGGCCTGACCCGCCCCCCCGGTCACAAGAGCCGCAGCGAGAGCTTCTTGTGGGCGGGGGGGAGCAGCGCCACGGGGCTGAGCCATGGCCCTGCCCCCCCTGCTACTGGCCCTGCCCCCCCGGCCCTGCCCCTGCCCCCCCCCCCCACCCACTGGCTCTGTCCCACCCTGCCCTGCCCCGCCCCGCCCCCGGTAACAATGCTGGCTTTGGTGGGACACTTCTGAGCGTATCAAGTCAGGACACATTGCTGAGAGCAGGGCAGGGCTTTTGCAAACTAAGGCAAACCAAACCCGCCAGCCAGCGAGGACTTGGGTCTCACCCCTCTGGCTAACCACAAGTCAGGCCGGCAATGCCCTCAGATGCGCCTGTTTCCCAGGATCCCCACCAGCGCCGCTCGCTGTGGGGACGCACGGTTATGAAAACCAATTCGCCAGTAAAAGAAAGACGGTTCTCCCGATCCAACGGACCAAGCCCCAGACCCCGGGACAAGTCAGCTCTTACCCACAAATCACGCTGTTGCCGATCCTTTAGCATCTAAAAGCTAAAGGTTTATTGATCAAAGGAAACCGAGGTTGGTGAGAGCCAGCACTGGTGAAATGGAATCAGTCCCATCCAGTAACGGCCAAGTTCTCGGGTCAGGCTTGTAGCAGGGATGGAATAAGCGGCAGGTTCAAATCAAGGCTCTGGAGAACGTCCCCAGCTGGGAGGGGTCCTTCGGTCCTGAGTTCAGAGCTTCTGTGTGTAGCAACGTCCCTCCAGAGGTGAGCAGCAGGACAGACAACCAGGTGGGAGGGGTTTTCAGGGCCTGTTATATTCTCTGCCCGTGGGAGGACCCCCCTCCATTCCCACTGTGGAAATCACAGCAGCAAGATGGAGTCTGGAGTCACATGGACAAGTCACATGTCCATGCATGCCTCAGTTTGCCGTTCTTTACCTGTTAGTTTGAGTTCCCAGGAAAGCTCAGATGTGGATTGGCGTCTCCCAAAGTCCATTGTCAGCGAAGTGTTTCTGGATTGGGCACCTTCGGAGAATAGTCCCTTCTCAAGAAGCTGGCCAAATACTTCACTGAGGCTGCTTAGAAACATCACACACACACACAAACACACACACACCGTCATAACCAGCAACTCACAACCTCTCCATAGACCCCGTCCTGGACCTTCTTTGTACAAGATTAGGTGCAACTACAGGACCTTGGTTGCAACAATGATCTATACGGTCCCAGTTCACGTCAGTAATGTTACACCCCCTTGTCGGCCCTGGCCCTGCCCCGCCAGCCCTGCTTCTGGCCCTGGCCGACCCTGCCCACTGCACCTGCCAGACTCCCCCAGCCTGTGGCGTGCCCCCCCCCAGCCCCTGCTGTGCCACGCCTGCCTCTCCCCACCCCAGCCTCTGCCATGCAGCTCCTGACACACACGCACTTCCCGCAGAGCGCAGCCCCCTGGGGGGCCAGGAGAGCGTTCGCTGGAGGAAGAACCTCGCCCACTGGCGCCCGAACTCCGACAAGGTGGACAAGTGCGTGTGCTGCCACACCTGGGGCCCTGGGGTGGGGGGCGCCAGGAGACACTGGGGGCACCGGGCTGGGAGGGGAGGGGGGTGCTGGGGGGTACCGGGCTGGAGGGTGCTGGGCAGGGCCCAGGATGGGAGCGATGCCAGGGAGCCCAGGGCACTGTGGGGGGCTGGGCTGGGGGGGGGCTCCATGCTAGGGGGTGCTGGGGCAGTGTCTGGGGGGGTGGATGCTGGGGAGCACTGGGGGGCCATGGGGTGGGTGGGGGCTGGGGGCACTGGGCAGGGACCAGGATGGGAGTGACGCCAAGGAGCCCGTGGCACGCAGGGGGCTGGCCCTGGGGAGTGCCAGGCTGGGGGGTGGATGCTGATGCCCCGCTCTCCCCCAGGAGCCGGGAGGAGGTGGAGCAGGAGGTGCTGGTGGAGGGGAACCTGGCGACCGAGGCCAACCTGGTGGTGCTGGACACACTGGAGATCATCGTCCAGGTGGGGGCAAGGCGGAGTTAACCCCTTCCCTCCCAGCGCCCCCCCGCACCCCAGCAGCTGCCGCTGACCTGTCCTGCCCCCTCTCAGAGCTGGGGATGGGACCCAGGGGCCCTGGCTCCCAGCTCCTGCCTCTAACAACCAGCCCCTGCTCCCTGTGAACATCAGGGACTGGTTGCCCCAGGAGGCTCTGCCCTCCTGCTCCTTCCTCTCCCCTCCTGGGCGAGCTCCATCCCCACTCCCCAGAGCACCACCCTCCCGGCCCCTCCCCTGGCAAGCTCCGCCTTCCTGGCCCCTCCCCCTAGCAAGCTCCTCCCCCTGGTGAGCTCTGCCCTCCCGGCCCCTCCCCCCTCCCCCTGGTGAGCACCGCCCCCTGGTGAGCTCCGCCCTCCCAGCCCCTCCCCCTGGCAAGCTCCTCCCCCAGCAAGCTCCACCCTCCCAGCCCCTCCCCCTGGCAAGCTCTGCCTCTGGTGAGCTCCGCCTTCCTGGCCCCTCCCCCTGGGAGCTCCGCCTTCCCGGCCCCTCCCCTGGCAAGCCCCTCCCCCTGGGAGCTCCGCCTTCCCAGCCCCTCCCCTGGCAAGCTCCTCCCCTGGCGAGCTCCACCCTCCCAGCCCCTCCCCCTGGCAAGCTCTGCCTCTGGTGAGCTCTGCCTTCCCGGACCCTCCCCCTGGGAGCTCCGCCTTCCCAGCCCCTCCCCTGGCAAGCTCCTCCCCTGGCAAGCTCCACCTTCCCAGCCCCTCCCCCTGGCAAGCTCTGCCTCTGGTGAGCTCCGCCTTCCCCCCCCCCCCCTGGGAGCTCCCCTTCCCACCCTTCCCCCCTCCTCCCTCAACTCCACCTCCCCCCCCCCCCCCCCTGGCATCTCTCTGGTGAGCCCGCCTTCCTGCCCCTCCCCCTGGGAGCCGCCTTCCCGGCCCCTCCCTGGCAGCCCCTCCCCCTGGGAGCTCCGCCTTCCCGGCCCCTCCCCTGGCAAGCTCCTCCCCTGGCGAGCTCCACCCTCCCAGCCCCTCCCCCTGGCAAGCCTCCTTGGTGAGCTCTCCTTCCCCCCCCCCCGGCTCCACCTTCCCACCCCCTCCCCTGGCAAGCTCTCCTCTGGTGAGTCCGCCCTCCTGGCCCCTCCCCCTGGTGAGCTCCGCCCTCCTGGCCCCTCCCCCTGGTGAGCTCCGCCCTCCTGGCCCCTCCCCCTGGCGAGCTCCGCCCTCCCCCTGGCGAGCTCCGCCCTCACGGCCCGTGTCTCGCAGACGGTGCTGCTGGCGGAGGCCAAGGAGAGCGTGCTTGACGGGGTGCTGCGGGTGCTGCTCCACGGCATGGCCTGCACGCCCAGCGCCCTCTTCCTGCAGCACTGCTTCGCCTCCCAGAGGGCGCTGGTGAGCAAGGTGAGTGGGGGCCCCCGGGCGGCCCCCGGGCTCCGCTGCCTCCGAGTAGCCGCGCCCCGGGACTGGGGCAGGTGCCCGCTGGCTCAGCCCAGCCCAGCCAGGGCAGGTCGATCCAGGGGCCCCGAGATCGATGGCCCACGGGGAGCTGGCGGGGGGGTGGACGGGGTGACTGGGCAGCGGGGAGAAGGGCTCTGTCTGCCCATGGGGGCCCCTGGGCAGCGGGAGATCGGAGTCCAGGGTGGGTTCGCCTGGGCCCGTCCCACGGGTGGCTGGGCCGGGCCAGCTCTGGGGAGGTCGCGCCTGGGTTTGTGTGACTCCATCCAGAGGGAGTGGTGAAGCCAGGATGGGAACCCAACCTGCTGCCGCAGCTGCTGGGCCCTCCAGCAAGCCGGGCGAGAACCCAGGTGTCCTGGCTGCCAGCGCTTCCTTCCAGCGCCAGGCGAGAACCCAGGCGTCCTGGCTCCCAGCGCCCCCCAACATTCCAGCCCCTGGACCCTGCTCCCTGCCAGCGCCGGGCGAGAACCCAGGCGTCCTGGCTCCCACACCCCCTCATTCCAGCCCCTGGACCCCGCTCCCTGCCAGCGCCGGGCGAGAACCCAGGCGTCCTGGCTCCCAGCGCCCCCCCGCATTCCAGCCCCTGGACCCCGCTCCCTGCCAGCGCCGGGCGAGAACCCAGGCGTCCTGGCTCCCAGCGCCCCCTGCATTCCAGCCCCTGGACCCCGCTCCCTCCACCCGGGCGAGAACCCAGGCGTCCTGGCTCCCAGCGCCCCCCCGCCTTCCACCCCTGACCCCGCTCCCTGCCAGCGCCGGGCGAGAACCCAGGCGTCCTGGCTCCCAGCGCCCCCCGCATTCCAGCCCCTGGACCCCGCTCCCTGCCAGCGCCGGGCGAGAACCCAGGCGTCCTGGCCTCCCGGGGCGGCTGTAACCCCTCTCCCCACGGCGCAGTTCCCGGAGATGCTGTTCGAGGAGGACACGGAGCTCTGCGCCGACCTGTGCCTGCGGCTGCTGCGGCATTGTAGCAGCCGGGTGGCTGCCATCCGCACCCACGCCAGCGCCTCCCTCTACCTGCTCATGCGCCAGAACTTCGAGATCGGCCACGTGAGTGCAGCCCCCCCCCCGCTGGGCATGGCCCCACTCCCCGCCCGCTGCCATGCGGCTGTCTCTGGGGTGGAGCGCAGCCGTTGGGTGGGCTGTCTGGGACACACCGCCGGCTCCTTTGCAAGAGGAAGATGGGGGTGGTTTGTTGGAGGCTCCGGGCTGCCAGGGAACTCGGGCACAGCCAGCCGGCGGGATCCCAGGGGCTGCCTGGGCATCCCCTGCCCTCACCCCCATGCCAGCAGCCGGGCAGCAGGGGGCGCCGCAGGTTCCTCGGCTCAGCCCCTCCCCTCCCCCTCCCCCCGCAGAACTTTGCCCGGGTGAAGATGCAGGTGACGATGTCGCTCTCCTCGCTCGTCGGGACCTCGTCCAACTTCAACGAGGAGCATCTACGGCGCTCGCTGAAAACCATCCTGACCTACACCGAGGAGGACGCCGGGCTGCGGGACAGCAGCTTCGCCGAGCAGGTACGGGGGCGGGGGGGGGGAAGCCCACTGCACGGCACCTTCCCTGATTGACAGGCCCCCAGCCAGCCAGGCTCCCTCGCTGTGCCCCCTGAGGGCCCATTCCTGTAGCTGAGTGGGTACCGGGTTGGTGCCAGCTGGGGGTAGCGGGAGGGCGCACAGGGTCCCCTCAACAGCCTGGGGCTGGTCCAGCCAAGGGCTCCTCGACTCTCGGCCCCCTGTGGCAGGCTGGCGCGTGGCCGGCTCTGCTGGGGGCCCCGGCCCTGCTGGGGGCCCCGGCCCAGCCACGCTCCCGGAGCGGCGCTGACAGTGTGGGGTGATGGGCGGGGAGGGGGAGAGTCTGAGCCCCGGCCCCCCGCTGTCCCCCCCAGGTGCAGGACCTCGTCTTCAACCTGCACATGATCCTCACCGACACCGTCAAGATGAAGGAGCATCAGGAGGATCCAGAGATGCTGATAGACCTGATGTACAGGTGAGAGCCCCGGCCACGCCCCCTACCCAGCCCCGGCCACGCCCCCAGCCCCGGCCACGCCCCCAGCCTGCTCCTCCAGCGTCCTCCCCCACGCCCCATCCGCCCCCAGCCAGGTTCCTGGTCCTGCCCACCCCCGTGCACTGCTCAGGCAGTCCAGGCAGGAATACAGCCCCCCCCCCCCCCCCGCAACTCCCTGGGAGTGGCACCTCCCAGTAGAGAAGTGGGGGGCTGAGGAACAGAGGGGAGACTTGTCACAAGCTAACGGACTGAGCCCTGGGTTCCAGCCCCCCACTCCAACCGACTAGACCCCCCTCCCCTCCCCGGGCTGGCGAGAGAACCCAGGTGTCCTGGCTCTCAGCCCTCCCACACCACCGCTCTAACCCACTAGTCGTCCCGTCCCGCCCCCGGACCAGGGGGAGAACCCAGGCGTCCTGGCTCTCAGCCCCTGTTTCTTTCCCAGGATCGCCAAGGGCTACCAGAACTCCCCGGACCTGCGGCTGACGTGGCTGCAGAACATGGCGGCCAAGCACTCGTCCCAGGGGAACCACGCCGAGGCGGCCCAGTGCCTGGTGCACGCGGCCGCGCTGGTGGCCGAGTACCTGAGCATGCTGGAGGACTGTCGCTACCTGCCCGTGGGCTGCGTCTCCTTCCAGGTGAGCGGGGGTGGCAGAGGAGATCGGGGACGGTGCCCCCTCGAGTGCTGACCAGACACACCACCCCTGCCAGGGGGAGAAGGAGAGAACCCAGGAGTCCTGGCTTCCAGCCCCCGCCCCCGGCTCCAACCCACCAGCCCCAGCTCCCCTCCAGAGCCGGGGAGAGGACCCAGGAGTCTTGGCTTCCAGCCCCCGCCCTCCGCTCCAACCCACCAGCCCCAACTCCCCTCCAGAGCCAGGGAGAGAACCCAGGAGTCCTGGCTCCCAGACCCATGCTCTGACCCCTAGACCCCACCCCGCTCCCCTCCCTGAACTGGGGGGAGAACCCAGGAGTCCTGGCTTCCAGCCCCCGCCCCCGGCTCCAACCCACCAGCCCCAACTCCCCTCCAGAGCCGGGGGAGAACCCAGGAGTCCTGGCTTCCAGCCCCCACCCCCGGCTCCAACCCACCAGCCCCAACTCCCCTCCAGAGCCGGGGAGAGACCCAGGAGTCTTGGCTTCCAGCCCCCACCCTCCGCTCCAACCCACCAGCCCCAACTCCCCTCCAGAGCCAGGGAGAGAACCCAGGAGTCCTGGCCCCCAGCCCCATGCTCTGACCATTAGACCCCGCTCCCCTCCCTGAACTGAGGAGAGAACCCAGGAGTCCTGGCTGCCCCCCCACCCCTCTAACACTAGAACCTCCTCCCTGCCCCATCCCCGGGCAGGCCTGCCCGCTGACCTGCCCGCCCGTGGGGGGCAGCGGGGGGTTCTCGGCCCCCCAGCCCCGCTCACCGCCCGTCTCCGGCAGGGCATCTCGTCCAACGTGCTGGAGGAGTCGGCCGTCTCGGACGACGTGCTGGCCCCGGACGAGGAGGGGATCTGCTCCGGGAAGTTCTTCACTGAGCTGGGGCTGGTGGGGCTGCTGGAGCAGGCGGCCGCCTTCTTCACCATGGTGAGCGCCAGGGAACGGCCCTACTGCCGCCGCCGGCCGAGGGAGGGAGCCAGCGTGGCCCTGAGCCTGCCCCTGGCGGCGGAAGGGGCAGCGCGTGGGGCGTTTGGAGGGGGTGTCTGGGCCTGGGCCTGGGCAGACTATTTGCCCCCTTTGCTCACGTGGCTGGGGGGCTGCGGTCCCCGTCTGACCCCCCCCAGGGCGGGATGTACGAGGCGGTGAACGAGGTCTACAAGATCCTCATCCCCATCCACGAGGCCAACCGGGAGTTCAAGAAGCTGGCTGCGCTGCACGGCAACCTGCAGGACGCCTTCGGCAAGATCACCAGCCAGGTGAGCGCCCGCCGGCGGGCACAGCTGGGGGGCCGCGCGGGCCGGGGCCCTGCAGCCTCGGGGCCATGGGTCCTGGAGGGGAGCGGCTCCAGTGGGTGGTGTTGGGACCAAGAGCCAGGACTCCTGGGTTCTCTCCCTGGCTCGGGGAAGGGAGGTGGGGGTCTAGTGGTTAGAGTGGCGGGGCTGGGAGCCAGGACTCCTGGGTTCTCTCCCTGGCTCTGCCACTGTCTGCCCGCATCTCTGGGCAGGTCCCTGCCTGTCTGTGCCTCAGTTTCCCCCTCTGCACCGTGGAGCAACTTCTATTAGCCTGAGGGGGCCCCTTGGCTGCTCGGCAGAGTGTGGGCGTGGTCCCTTGGTGAGAGCGCTCCCTTGTGGCAGAGATGTGAATTGTAGGGGAGGGGACCCCAGCTTCCCACTGAAGGCGAAGTGGGTGGTGCCCAGCTGGCTGCAGTGGGGAGCTGCCTCGGGGTTGCCCCAGTTCCCCAGGGGGGCAGTGTTTTCCGATCGGTCAGGCCTCCCCTCTGAGCCCCACCTGCAGTGTCCGGGGGGAGGGGGGTTGGGGCGTGCTGTGGGTGCGATCCTGTGCGGCAGGGGGAGGGGGCGGGGGGGTCCCGACGGCAATTGACGAGCTCTCTCTCCTGCTCTCTTCGCCCCCCCTCTGCGCCCGTCCTGTCAGAGCGCTGGCTGGGAGGTAGGACACGTGTGTGTGTGTGTGTGTGTGTGTGTGTGCCCACCCCCTCCCCCCAGCCCTGTGTGTGCAGCAGCCTCACAGCCCCCCCCGCCCGCGCATGCCCCCCCCACCCCCGTGCATGGTCTGGGCTGCCTGGTGGAATGGTCTGTTTCTAACGCTGTCCAGCTTGGGAAGCGGGGCCTAGCGGTTAGAGCGGTGGGGGCTGGGAGCCAGGACTCCTGGGTTCCCTCCCTGATTCGGGGAGGGGAGTGGGGCCTAGCGGTTAGAGCAGTGGGGGCTGGGAGCCAGGACTCCAGGGTTCTCTCCCTGACTCGGGGAGGGGAGTGGGGTCTAGCGGTTAGAGCGGCGGGGGCTGGGAGCCAGGACTCCTGGGTTCCCTCCCTGGCTCGGGGAGGGGAGTGGGGCCTAGCGGTTAGAGCGGTGGGGGCTGGGAGCCAGGACTCCAGGGTTCTCTCCCTGGCTCGGGGAGGGGAGTGGGGTCTAGCGGTTAGAGCGGTGGGGGCTGGGAGCCAGGACTCCAGGGTTCTCTCCCTGACTCGGGGAGGGGAGTGGGGCCTAGCGGTTAGAGCGGCGGGGGCTGGGAGCCAGGACTCCTGGGTTCCCTCCCTGGCTCGGGGAGGGGAGTGGGGCCTAGCGGTTAGAGCGGTGGGGGCTGGGAGCCAGGACTCCAGGGTTCTCTCCCTGACTCGGGGAGGGGAGTGGGGCCTAGCGGTTAGTGGCCCTGCTCTCCCTGCTGCGAGTGACCCCGACCGTGGGCGGTTGTCCTGAGTGTGATGAGTTAGCAGGTCTCGGCTGGTCCCTGCTTCGCGCCCACTTCCAGACTGGGGGGCCAGGTAGCCCTGGCTGGGAAGAGCTGTGGGCCAGGGCAGGAAATCCCCATACAGGGTGGGGGTGCAGCCCCCCCCAGCCCCTCTGCCCCAGTGTGCCCCGGGTGACCCCAGGTGTGACGCCGGTGACCTTTCACCTCTGTATGTTGGGTCAAAGTGGAGGTGGCTGGGGATGGCAGTGCCCCGGGGGAGATGGGGGCTGCATGGTGGTTTCAGCTCTACCGTACGGGGGGGGCCGATCTGTCCCGGGGGCCCCCCCTGCCAGGCCCTGGGCCCCCCACCGCCACGCTAGGAGCCACCCCCTGCCCCCTACTAACTTGCTGCCTCTCGTCTTCTCTCCCCGGCTGCCGGTCCTGCCCGCTGCTGCTCCCCCACCTCGATGCTGCGGTAAGTCGCCCCCCTGGGGCGTGCCACCAATTTGGGGGCGTGCCCTGGGCCATGTCCTCCAAGCTGCAGGAACCTCCCAGCCAGGGAGCAAAGCCAGGTCGGGGGGGGATGCAGGGGAGGAGCCGGAGAAAAGCTCGTAGGGACGGGGCCTGAACCAGGGCCCCGAGGCTACCGAGGGAGAGGGGGGCTCTACTCTCAGCAGGGACGGGTGAGGGGGTGCCCTGGGGGTCCTGAGGGCAGGATTGTGCTGGAGGATGGAGGGGAGCGTCCGTGTGGGGGTGCGGCTGTGGCAGCCGAGTGCCTGGGAAGGGACTGGGGAGGCCGTTCCCTGGGAACCCCCGAGCCTGGTGGGTTCTGGGTCCGGCCTCGGAGCCTCGCGCCCAGCAACGCCCAGGCAAGGCCGCGGGTTTCCCTGCTGTGCCCGGCTCCCCCAGCCCGGCCGGCTCTCCGCAGGGTGGGCAGCAGGGTCAGAGAGCAGCTCCTGGGTCCCTGCTGAGAGGGAAGGGGGCATCTAGTGGTTAGAGCAGGGGGCCGGGTGCCAGGACTCCTGAGTTCTCTCCCTAGCTCTGGGTGGGGTCTAACCACTAGCCCCCACTTCCCCTCCCAGAGCTGGGGAGAGAACCCAGGCGTCCTGCTGTAACCATTAGGTCCCACTGCCCCCTACAGCCTCCCTTCCCCCCCTCGCCAGTCAGGTCCCAGGGTTCCCCTATGGCAGCACCATGGCTGCCCCTTCCCCACCCTGCCCCCAAGCTGTTGCTGTATCCGGAGATGGCTGCAGTTAAGGGAGGCTTGCGGCCGCCGGCTCTTGGCCTTTCCTGGCCCGGCGCCCAGGCTCACCGGCCCCGCTCTGCCCAGGCCCCCAGCGCATGTTCGGGACGTATTTCCGGGTCGGATTCTACGGCAGCAAGTTCGGGGACCTGGACGAGCAGGAGTTTGTGTATAAAGAGCCATCCATCACCAAGCTGGCCGAGATCTCCCACCGGCTGGAGGTGAGGCAGGGGCAGGGAGAGGGGCACTGGCAGGATGGGGGGAGCCCAGGGCTGGGCTGGCTGGGGGCTGCGGGTCGGAGTGAGGGGCACTGGCAGGGTGGGGGGAGCCCAGGGCTGGGCTGGCTGGGGGCTGCGGGTCGGAGTGAGGGGCACTGGCAGGATGGGGGGGGCCCAGGGCTGGGCTGGCTGGGGGCTGCGGGTGGGGCGGGTGGAGGGGGGCACCGGCAGGATGGGGGAGCCCAGGAATGGGCTGGCTGGGGGCTGCGGGTCGGAGTGAGGGGCAGGGGGGGGGCTGGCGGCTCGGGTGGAGGGGGCACCGGCAGGATGGGGGGAGCCCAGGGCTGGGCTGGCTGGGGGCTGCGGGTCGGAGTGAGGGGCACCGGCAGGATGGGGGGAGCCCAGGGCTGGGGTAGTTGGGGGCTGCGGGTCGGTTGGAAATGGCCCTGCTCTCCCCCTCGGGCCTCCCTGGCTGGAGTTCCATGGGCTGGTTCTGCCCCTCACACTGCCCCCCAGCTTCCCGCAGTGGCCGGGGGGGGAGGGGTGGGAATCCTGCTGGATTTTGGCAGCTCTCCTGGGAGCCCGGCTTGTAACCCGCCCCCCTGCATGGGACGCTGCCTGGGTGCCCCCCCATGGACCTCTGATCGCCAGGCGCCCATGCCCCCTCTGCCCATCATTGTGGTCCCTGGGCACCTAGATGAATTCTGTCTGCAGCTTGGGCAGCTCTGCCCCGGGACAGCGGGGTGGGGGGCTGGGGGCCCTTCTACACACACTGGGCCTCCGTGGTCCCTCCGCTGCCAGCCAGGGAGGCTGCAGGCTGGGGGACCTGGGGCTGTTCTGGGGCCACCCCCCGGGGTGACGGCCAGAGGCGCCCTGGCTGGAAACTGGCCAGTTCCAGGCCCAGCCCCATAGAACGGGGGGGTCTCTTCCCCCCCCCCCCCCCCCCGCAGGAGTTCTACGCCGAACGCTTCGGGGATGACCTGGTCGAGATCATCAAGGACTCGAACCCTGTGGACAAGGCCAAGCTGGACCCCAATAAGGTAAAGCTGGGACCCATGGGTAGGGGTATACGGCAGTGCCTGGGGCCCCCGGCTGAGATTGGACCCCCTCCCTCCCCTGTCACGCCCCGGGTGCTGCCCAGACTCCAGCCGAGATTGGGGGTCCCCATCGTGCCGGGCGCTGCATGGACACAGCGAGACCCGCCCTGCCCCAAGGAGCTCCCAGTCTGAGTAGGCACAAGGCAGGAGGGGAAACCGAGGCGCGAAGCAGGACAAGGACTCGCCCAGTGTCACCCAGCTCCGGGGCCGTGAGGAGGGCAGGGTGGGCCGGGTCCTCCTGTCATGGGGCTCCCTGGGGCTGGACGGCAGATTCCCGGCCGTGCCCCCCTTCACGGCCACCCCCCGCCCCCCAGGCCTACATCCAGCTGACCTATGTGGAGCCCTTCTTCGACACCTACGAGCTGAAGGAGCGGGTCACCTACTTCGAGAAGAACTATGGTCTGTGCAGCTTCCTCTTCTGCACGCCCTTCACGCTGGACGGGCGGGCGCACGGGGAGCTGCACGAGCAATTCAAGCGCAAGACGCTGCTCTCCACCTCGCACGCCTTCCCCTACCTCAGAACCCGCCTGCCCGTCGTCCACAAGGAGGAGGTGCCGCCGGGGGGCTCGGCAGGGGGGCTCGGCGGTGGGCGTCGGGCTGCGGGGGTTCGGGAGGGGGGCTCGGCGGGGGTGCCGTGGGCAGGGGTTCGGGAGGGGGCGCGGCGGTGGGCGCCGGGCTGCGGGGGTTCGGGAGGGGGGCTCGGCGGGGGTGCCCCTTGGAGGGCGTCGGGCTGGGGGGGGGGGCAGGAGTTCGGGAGGGAGGCTCGGCGGTGGGTGCCGGGCTGCGGGGGGGGAAGCAGGTGCTCAGCGGGGGCGCCTTGGGTGGGGGTTCAGGAGGGGGGCTCAGTGCTGGGCGTCGGGCTGCGGGGGTTCGGGCTCGGGGGGGTGCCGTGGGCGGAGTTCGGGAGGGAGGCTCGGCGGTGGGTGCCGGGTGGGGGCAGGGGTTCGGGAGGGGGGCGCGGCGGTGGGCGTCGGGCTGCGGGGGTTCGGGAGGGGGGCTCGGCGGGGGTGCCGTGGGCAGGAGTTCGGGAGGGAGGCTCGGCGGTGGGTGCCGGGCTGCGGGGGGGGAAGCAGGTGCTCAGCGGGGGTGCCGTGGGCAGGGGTTCAGGAGGGGGGCTCGACGGTGGGCGCCGTGGCAGGAGTTCGGGAGGGGGACTCGGCGGTGGGCGCCGTGGGCAGAGGTTCGGGAGGGAGGCTCGGCGGTGGGCGCCGGGCTGCGGGGGGGGAGGCGGGGGCTCGGCGGTGGGCGCCATGGGCGGGGGTTTGGGAGGGGGGCTCGGCGGGGGGGCAGGGTTCTGCAGGGGTCTGGGGGGCCGAGTTGACCCCCCCCCGGTGCACCCAGATCATCCTGACCCCCATCGAGGTGGCCATTGAGGACATGCAGAAGAAGACGCAGGAACTGGCCTTCGCCACCCACCAGGACCCGGCCGACGCCAAGATGCTGCAGATGGTGCTGCAGGGCTGCGTGGGCACCACCGTCAACCAGGTGGGGCGGCCCAGGGCAGGGCAGGGGGGTCGGGGGTCACGCAGCAGACACAGGCCGGGAGGGAGCCTCGATCCTCCCTCCCCACCCCCTTCTGGGGCTGCGCCGGTGCCCCCCCACATCCCCCGCCCCGCGGCCGCTTTGGCCCTCGCGCCAGGAGTTGAGTCATGCTGGGGCACCGGCGGGACCGGGCCGGGCGGGGCAGGGCTGGGCCAGCAGGGGGCGGGGCCGGGCTGGTCAGGGGCGGGGCTGGGCCAGCAGGGGGCGGGGCCGGGCGCTGACCCACTGCCCATTGCCCAGGGCCCGCTGGAGGTGGCCCAGGTGTTCCTGGCCGAGATCCCGGACGACCCCCGGCTCTACCGGCACCACAACAAGCTGCGCCTCTGCTTCAGGGACTTCACCAAACGGTACCGGCCCCCCCACCCACCCCCCCTTCCCCCCTCTCCCCCCTGGCACCCAGCGCCCCGGCCCCCCGCTTCCCCCACCGGCACAACCCTTCGTCAGGGCTGGCCTCATCCCCAGGAGGTGGGGGGCTGGGTCCTGGCCCCTGCCTGCCCCCAGCTCCCTCCGTGGGGCTCCGAGCCCCCCAGCCCTGGGCCCTGCACTCAGCTGGGGCGAAGCAGGGCATTCTGGGACCCCCGTTGGCCGTGGTGATGAGCCCCGCCCCTCGGTTCCAGGTGCGAAGACGCCCTGCGTAAGAACAAGGCGCTGATCGGGCCGGACCAGCGCGAGTATCACCGGGAGCTGGAACGGAACTTCCTGCGCCTCCGGGAGTCGCTGCAGCCCCTGTTGGGCCGCCGGATCCCCCAGCTCTACGCCCCACTCGTCCCGCACTCCACCCACCGGTGAGCACCCCCCCGGCGCCAGGCACTGCCCGGACACAGGGAGAGACCGTCCCCAGGTCGTGCCCAGCCAGAATATGCACAGGACAAGAGGAGAAACTGAGGCAGTGAGGAGACGGGACGTGCCCAGGGTCATGCAGGGAATCCTGTGGCATAGCCAGGAATGGGACCCAGGAATCCTGGCTCTCTGCTCTGACCACTACACTCCACTCCCTTCCCTGAGCGGGGAATCCAGGGTTGGCTTGTTCCCTGGGGTCTCTCCACACCTGGCAGTTACCAGGGTCCCCCACCCGCCGGGGAGGGGGCGGATTTGCCACATGTTAATTTCACCCATTGGATTAATTAGAGGCTTTCCCCCCTTGCCCCCACCAGAAACTCTCTGAACAGGTCTAGTCTCCACAAGCTGGAGGGCTAGGAGGAGCCAGCGGGATCACCGAGGACCTTGGACCGGCTGCGTCCGCTCTTCCAGCCTGGGGGGACACACCCTGCCAGCCTCCAGAGTGCCTTGCTGAGCCCCCCGTATGGAGCCAGCCCAAGCCGCCTCCCCCGGGTCCAGGCCCACTCTCAAACTCTGCCCCCAGCCGGGCCTGCGGGGAGACCACTCGACCCAGTCAAATGCCAGGTGTCCGTGGTGTATCAGGGTCGTTCTCCGCCCCTTCCCGCTGCCTTCTGCTGCCCGGGGCGTTAAGGGCAAGGCGCCAGGACTCGGGTCTGGTGTCTCTCCCGCGGCCTGTGCCCGGTGCTGCAGGAGCCAGGCGGGCTGTCTAGCCTGTTACCTAGCAGCCAGCGGTAGAAGTTGGGTGGCCCCAATCCTGCCAGGGACCCTGCCTCTGGACCAAAGCTCAGCAAGCTGCCCCCCGAGCGTCTCCCCCTGCGGATCCCCCAAATGCAGGCAGCGAAGCGGCACCAGGCCAAGATCACCCCCACCTCCCCCATGGCAAATGGCACAGCTGGCTGGTTCCTGGGGCGAGAGAATGGGGCAGGCCATGGAGTCCCCCTCCTAGTGCTGGGAACAGAACCCAGGAGTCCTGGCTCCCCCCCCCACACCAAAGCCAGGGGCCCTATGGCCCTTGTGGTGCTTGAGGATCCTGCTCCCCCACCCCTCCGGGGGCAGGGGGGGACACAGCCTCTGCCCAATCCCTGTGCTGGAGGGGGGGGGCAGCTGGAGCCTTCCAACCCCCCAAGTGCCTGGGCCGGCCCTAGCTGTAGTGGAAGGAGGGGGGGTGCCCCACTTCCCGCCCCACTCACCTCTGTATGTTTCTTTTCTCACTCTGAGGAGCCTTCCTCTCCCCCGCTTCTGCTATCTCTTCCCTTGACCCCCAGCGGGGGGGGGCCCTCTGGGACGTTCATTAACCCATGGGTGGAAGGGGTGGTCTGGGGGGCTGATCTGGTTAAATGGGGAGGGCAAGCAGGGGCAGGGTGAAGCATAGCCATGAGGCTGTTCCACGTGAGTCGGGGAGAGGGGGCTGGTCTACTGGCAGTGGGGCAGGCGGTACCCCCAGCAAAGGGGCACAGAGATGGGGGGGGCTGCCAGGCATGGGCCCCTCCATTAGGTCCCACTCCAGGCCCTCCACCTGTGGGGTGGGCAGGGGATTCCCCAGGCCCTGCAGTGTCAGTGCGAGCCCCCCCACCCCCCAGCTGTACCCTGGGGGGGCCAAGAGTGTCCGGTGTGGGGCCCTGCTGCCCCCTCAACTCCAGCAGGGCCTGGATGGGGAGTTGGGGGGGAGCCCAGACCTTCCCTGCCCCCTTCAAATCACTGGTGCTGTGCCCCTCCCCCTTCCCGGTCTGGACCACCGGCCTTAACCCCAAACTGGAAACTCCCCCACATTAAATACCAGGTAGGGGAGGGGTGAAGCTGTTGCTGCCCCCCCCCCAGCTCCCTCCCCTCCCCTCCCATGCACCCCATTGGATTTGGCTCCTGCCTTGCTCTGGGGCAGGACACGGGGGGACGTGGTCTCCCCTCAGCGTCCTCCGTAGCCTCCCACCCCGGTCCTGCCCCCACACCCCGTGTCTGGCCGGCTGGGACCGCGGGGAGAGGCGCCGGCCGGGGGTTTATTTATAAAGCGATTTAACAATAAAACCCAAAACCTTTGGATTGTTTGAATTCCCAGGAGCCGAGTCTGGTTTGTGTTTGTGTTGCAGTGGGGTCGAGTGAGGGCGGGGGGCGGAGGGGGACACCTCTGCCCACCAGCCCCCATGCAGCCCCCCAGGAATGTGGGGGCCCCCTCGGGCTGAGCGCTGGGCAAACACATCCCTGCCTGTCGAGCTGACGCTCGCCAAGGCTTTGGAGGGGAAACTGAGGACACACCCCCCCACAGGCCAGTGGCAGAGCCAGGCCCTGCCACCCACCCGCCCCCTTTCGCTGGAGCTTGTGGCATCTAATCTTGCCAGGCCCATGCCAGGGCGGCGTGTGCTGGGTGATAGCGCCCAGCCCTGATAGACCCAACAGCTGGAGCGGTGAGGGGACAGACAGCTGCGCCGGGGGGGGGCCCGGCTTGTGCACGGGCAATTGGGGGGCAGGCGCTGCTGACAGGCGGGCACCTGGGCAGGAATTGCTGATGGCCATGGGGGACAGCGGGGGTTAGGGGCTGGGCTGGATGTGAATTAGTTACTATTAGGTGTATTATGGTAGCGCTGAGATCTGGGGCTCCCCCACTTGGTGCCAGGTGCTGCCCAGTCCCTGTCTGAGATCCGGGCCCCGGCGCTGCCCAGACACGCAGCGAGAGACTGTCCAGACCCCAAAGAGCTCCCAGACTAGCTAGAGGCAGGGTGGGAGGGGAAACTGAGGCAGGGGGGCGGGACTTGCCTATGGTTGGAGCAGGGGAAAGAACCCAGGTGTCTCAGGCCATGCGGCTGGGGTTCGGCAAGGCAGCCGGATGGGACCCTCGCGAAGACACTGCCTGCGAGTCGCCCCAGCAGGCCTGGGGCCCGGCAGCTGCCAGGTGTGGGGAGGGGGACGAGGGGCCCTGAGATGGAGGCCGGGACCTCAGGTTCAATGCCCGGCTTGGCGCCAGGCCTCTCTCAGGCCCCCGGGCAAGTCACTGGGTCCAGCTGGGCCCGTTCGGGGGCGGGAAGGGGGGATTATCCGGCCCTAGAGCTGCTCAGCTCTGGGGCGGCCCAGCCCAGGGCCCTAGCAGGAGCAGACGGGCACAACCGAGCGAAACGCCAGCTCAGGGTGGTGCCCCATGCATCTGGCTGCAGCCCTGGGGCCGTGGGGCTCGTGAGGCCAGGGGTAAATGTCCCTTGGCCGGCCCCTCTCTGCACCCGCTGGGCCGAGCCCCCTCTGCGGGGCAGGGCGCCCTCCCCCGGGCGTCAGGGCAGAGCTGGAGCCCCCAGCAATGGGAAAGACGGGAGCTGGGCTGTTTGCAGAGCGACGCCTTCTGCCCTGGGCCTCTGAGCCGAAACCCAGCCGAGCGGGGTGAGGAAGCGACGCAGCTGGGTTCGCCGGCTACCCCGGGGGGGTGGGGGGGAGCAGCTGGAGCCAAAACCGGGGCCCCATCGGGCCAGGCGCTGCCCAGAGCCCGACCCTCGAGTGCAGTGTAACTGGACAGCCAACAGGATGATGTAACTTGCCCCCCAGTCAGGCAGGGCCGAGGCAGAAGCAAAACCCAACTCTCCCTGCGCCCTCCCCCGGAGCCCCAGTGCAGGCCGAGGGCCCAACCCTTCCAGGATCTGCCCCCCACCTCGGCCGCCTGGCGGAGTCCGGGCTGCAGGATCGGGGCCCGGGTTTGGCAGCAGAGCCTTGCGTCCGGCAGCACCACAGTGATTTGGTGCATCCGAACCCCAGCCTGGTCTTGGCTGGGATCTGGGCGACGCCCGGCGCGACGAGGCCCTGGTCTCGGCTGGGGTCTGGGCGGCGCCCGGCGCGACGGGGCCCTGGTCTCGGCTGGGGTCTGGGCGGCGCCCGGCGCGACGGGGCCCTGGTCTCGGCTGGGGTCTGGGCGGCGCCCGGCGCGACGGGGCCCTGGTCTCGGCTGGGGTCTGGGCGGCGCCCGGCGCGCGGGGCCTGGTCTCGGCTGGGGTCTGGGGGCCCGGCGCGGGGCTGGTTTGCTGGGGTCTGGGCGGCGCCCGGCGCGACGGGCCCTGGTCTCGGCTGGGGTCTGGGCGGCGCCCGGCGCGACGGGGCCCTGATCTCGGCTGGGATCTGGGCGGCGCCCGGCGTGACGGGGCCCTGGTCTCGGGTGGGGTCCGGGCGGCGCCCGGCGCGACGGGGCCCTGATCTCGGCTGGGGTCTGGGCAGCGCCTGGCACGACGGGGCCCTGATCTCAACTGGGGTCTGGGCGGCGCCCGGCACGATGGGGCCCTGATCTCGGCTGGGATCTGGGCAGCGCCCGGCGTGATGGGGCCCTGGTCTCGGGTGGGGTCTGGGCAGCGCCCGGCGCAACGAGGCCCCAATCTCGGCTGGGCTCCACCCATGAAGCTCTAACCCACGTCATTATCACTAGCCACAAACTCTGCGTGTAACGTTTCAGCTCCAAGCAAAAATGCACCAAGAGCCGGGAGCAGCAGCTAAATTAGAACCAGGCCCGAGAGCCGGTCACCAGCCGCTGCGAATTAACTCCTGCCAGGCTGCCTTCTCCTGCCTCGCGGCAGCCCACAGGACCCAGGGGGAGCCCCCGGAGAGGGGCAGCGCAACGGGCAGGGCCTAGCTTTTAGTTCTGGGTCTGTGCAGCGCCTGGCACGGGGTGGGGGCTGGGCGCTACCGTAATACACCTAATAAACGCCACTTACTGTGCTGATGGAGGGTGTAAATGGGCCCCTCAATCCCCACAGATTCCCCTGGAATATTACCTGGCACAGACCCCCACCAAGATCAGAGCCCCGGCGGCCCGGGCGCTGCCCAGACCCCCACCGAGATCAGAGCCCCGGCAGCCCGGGCGCTGCCCAGACCCCGACCGAGATCAGAGCCCTGGCAGCCCGGGCGCTGCCCAGACCCCGACCGAGATCAGGGCCCCGGTGGCCCGGGGGCTGCCCAGACCCCGACCAAGACCAGGGCCCCATGGGCGCTGCCCAGACCCCGACCGAGATCAGAGCCCCGGCAGCCCGGGCGCTGCCCAGACCCCGACCGAGATCAGGGCCCCGGTGGCCCGGGGGCTGCCCAGACCCCGACCAAGACCAGGGCCCCATGGGCGCTGCCCAGACCCCGACCAAGACCAGAGCCCCGGTGGCCCGGGCGCTGCCCAGACCCCGACCGAGACCAGGGCCCCGTCGGGCCGGGCGCTGCCCAGACCCCGACCGAGACCAAGGCTCTGTCGGGCCGGGCGCTGCCCAGACCCTAACCGAGATCAGGGCCCTGTCGCGCCGCCCAGACCCTCAGGAAGACGTGGCCGTTACTGGTTCGCCCAGTTTGCCCAAATCCCCTTTGCCTGGAGCTCGGAAGCAGCCGAGCCTGAGGCCCAGCCCTTGGCGCTCTGGGCTCCTGGTTGTGCAGCTCCCCGGGGGGGCCGCAGCCGGGCTCTGGTTCTGCTCCTGGCAGAGGAATGAGCTCAGTGGTTTGAGCATTGGCCTGCTAAACCCAGGGTTGTGAGTTCAATCCTTGAGGGGGCCATTTAGGGATCTGGGGCAAAAATTGGGGATTGGTCCTGCTTTGAGCAGGGGGTTGGACTAGATGACCTCCTGAGGTCCCTTCCTACCCTGATCTTCTATCCCACCAGTGCTTCGCACGCCGGATTGGGCCCCGCTCACACTGGTCGCTGCCCCTTTTAGCTGGGGAGGGGTTGTGTCCCGGGCAGGGGGCGGGACCGAAGGCAGCCCCAGGGCGCTGGGCTGGCTGGTCACTTTCCGAGCTCTGGAGTCTCTGCCGGGGAGACTGGGAAACTGACAGCGGAGGGAAAAACGGTACCAGACCCTGCAAAATCCCCCCGGATCCTCCTCTGCCCCCTTGGCGTGGGGCCCCCAAGGGGCGCACCTGGGCCCCGGGAAGGCCGGAGACCCAGAGAACCCACCCGTTCCTCCCAAGGAGCCCGACTAATTTGGTGCCAACCTGGGGGACTCTTTGCAGGCACGGCGTCGAGGGGGAAGGTGGGGAACTGGAGGGAGTCGGCGTCTCCTTTGGGGCCTGCGGAGACCAGGTCCCGTCCGTCCCGTCCCCGGAGTTTAGCTGAGGTCACTTCACCCGCTTCTTTCTCGGCCCCTGTTCAAACCCCAGATTCTGACCCCGCGCGGTCCTGCAGTCCCGATGCCCCCGGCCCCCCGAACCGCCGGTTCCCGTTAAACCGAGACCTTTCTTCTCACTTCGCCAGGTCGGGACGGGGCAAGGAGAGTCCGACGTGGGGACGGGGTTTCTCCCAAGGTAAGCGAGCGACGATCCCCGGCCTCCTGCTTCGCTCGGGTTCGCGTTCTTCGCCAGGCGACTTTCCAGCAGGATTCCCCAGCCCCTCGTTGGGCAGGACCAGGAGAGGAGCTCGGAGAGTCGGGAAATCTAACTGCACCCCAGGGGCGTCGATCGGGCTGTCCGTGGTCCATTCGAAACACAGCGAGGGCCCAAAGGCGGCCTCAGAAGTCCCCAACTCCCGACCAATCGGCTCTGGAAGAGGCTGGAGTATTTTGCTGGGCCCCTTTTTCTCCCGGGGTCCCTGCCCTCCAGACCGGCGAGGGGGAGCCGTGGGCCGGGGATGGCTCCGCTCGGAGGCAATCGGATATATTTTGGAAGGGCACGGTTCTGGGCTGGACTGAGCCGGGGGGAGGGGAGCTCTGGTCAGTCTCCCAGCTCCAGATGTTTGTCATTAGACTCCAGCGGCTTTACCCCTTGTTTTCCACTTGTGTGCGGGCGGGCTGGGGGCTGGGGTGGCCAGTGGCTGGGCCAGCTGGGCAGGGGCTCGCAGAGTGGCTCCCTGGCCTTGGGGAAGGGAAATGCGGGAGCGACCCAGTTCTGGGGGCTGAGATCGGAGTGGGATGGGGACTCCCAGGGGAAGCGCCTTGTCTTTGGCCCCCTGGGCCTGCAGTTTGATTCCCAGTTGGGGTTCCGGAGTCAGGTCCCTGGGCCCGGCCTGGCCCCCCACGATAGACGCTTTGAGCCGCAGCCCTGGGTCAGGCATCTTGGCTTCTCCCTACACATCTGGGTGCCAGGTGAGGGTGCCGGGTGGTGCGGGGGGTGAAATCACT